ATCTCACTTTAAAGGCCCGCTTCATGTTGGATGCGTTATCCGTCAGAATGAAGCTTATTTTGTTGCTAATGCCATACTCCTCAACAATTTCATCAAATTCTGAGGCGATTCGTTCACCACAGTGCTTCCCTGTGAAACGCCGACAATCCAGCAAAAAGGATTTTAAACTGTAGGAGTCCTTGTCTTCGCAGGCAATATGCGCAGTAACTCCAAGGAAGGAGCGAAGCCTCCTGTCAGACCAGAGGTCGGTTGTAAGTGCAACACTTGCCTGAGCTTCCAGTGCTTTGATGATGTCATCCTTAACCTTACTGACTAGATAAGGTATCTGCTTCTCTGTCAAGCTGGTCCTAGACACAGGAGTGTATTTGCAGTCCATGACAGAAAGAAAGTGTCTAAAATTTGGATTTTCTACTAGAGACAGGGGCAGAGAGCATCCAATGACAAGGTCCTGGAGGATGGCTTGTGTAATGGCCTGTTGCCTGGATGAATTTGGGGCATATAAGTGGACTCTTTGCGCAAAGGAAGATATTGTCTGCTGTGTGGTGTCTGCCATCGCCAGTGATGCAGGTCCTGCTTTGTACTCCAAGTACCTGCAAAATAGGGAAAGAGACATCTGTAAGACATCTGTTCATATTCAACCACAACAAACTGTCTTGCAAGTGATATGAAAATTAAGTGTACAGTCTAAACATCAGGTCTTTGCATTATGAAACCTAAATCCAATCCAGTATGACACATTAACAGATCATCTCTGTATTTGACTTCATCTTTTTGCATAACCGCAGCACTATGCCTGTTCCTCCTGTCAGCCAACTAACTCATGTGTATTGTTGATAAGAAATTAAACCATTCTTAACAGAAAATACACTTCTACTCTATAAGGTCTGATGTTGTTCTCTACAGAATCTGTAGCCTAAACCATTCTGCAGCTGTAGTGGCATGATAGGCTCATAGGGCCACACAGAAGAGGACTTAACCGTGTTAACCACATCACACATTATACATACATGTACCACATCATATACCACATCAAACATTTAATAAAATAAAATATATAATAATAAAATAAGGCTGCATTGCATGTTGATCATTTAGGCACGAGAGCAAGCGTATGTGTGAGTGTGAGTGTGTGTGTGTGTGTGTGTGTGTGTGTGTGTGTGTGTGTGTGTGCGCTCTCACGGATTGACAGACTGTGTGCAGCGGCAGCGACACCATACCGTACCGTACCCCACCCCCACCCTTCCTCCCCCACCACCGTCACCACACATGGTGGTGGTGGTGGTGGTGGTTTTCAGTGCGAAACACTGAAATCCAAACAGAGACGACCAATGCTACAGCTGTTCGTTAGCTGAAGTCAAAGCCATTCAATTGGCAAACAGTTCAAAAGGTTGCCAATTCAAAGAGCTAGCTACCTGTACTTAGCATGTGTTTACATTCGGTGTTCACCAGGTTAATAAAGTCCGCAGAGGCTTACAAAAATCTATCCCTATTATCTAACTTTATACCGCACATGTAAGAACGCATAATAAGTCACAATAATAAATTACACACATAATCTGTTTGGTCACGGGAGGTTGGAGAGGTGGTTAACGTTACTGCTAACGAAGTATCAGAGCTAGTTGCTTACCTTTCCCGGTGTTTTCGCTCCAGATGTCTGGTGAAAGTCGATGTGGTCCCTCCTGTCTCCATTAAACACACTTTGCAAAATTTACATATTGCAGAATGCTTCTTCTTCTTTGTTGTGTGGCAAACGAACTCTTTATGGTCTGTAAAACCAAACCTGACGACTGCCGAATTCACTGACATTTTGCGTCCTCCTCCATCGATCCGTGACCGTGCTTTAGAGGGGGGGCGTGAGAGGACGAGCGCCAACGCCGTCTGTGTCACAAAATGCATGTGATTGGTACCGATTGAAGGGGGCGTATAATGATATCAAAAAAAAACTGTGCCTGCCTGGATATTATAGGTTACAAATCCCTTCGAGACCGCTCGGCCAGTCCGAGACATTGCGAGACCGATAGACCCGAGACCGAGACAAGACTGAGACCAAAGACTGTCGAGGCCGTGACAAGACCAAGACCGCAAAAAAGTGGTCTCGAGAACTACAAGTCTAGTGCTAGAGGCCAGAGCAATGCCATCTAGAGAAACTATGTCATCAGATAAAGAGTCTCTGAGTTGTTTGGGGCCAAGAACAATAACTTCAGTTTTGTCTGAATTTAACATCAGGAAATTGGTGCTCATCCAGGTTTTTTATGTCTTTAAGGCATTTTTAAGTTTAGTTAATTGATTACTTTCTTCTGGCTTCATAGATAAATACAGCTGTGTATCATCCGCATAACAATGGAAATTTACAGAGTGATTTCTAATGATGATACCTAAAGGAAGCATATATATAGAGTAAATAGGATTGGGTCGAGCACAGAACCATGCGGAACTCCAAAACAAACTTTAGTACGTAAGGATGATTCATTATGAACGTGAACAAACTGAAAACAATCAGATTAATAAGATTTAAACCAGCTTAGTGCAGAACCTTTTAGGCCAATTAAGTGTTCCAGTCTCTGTAGCAGAATTGGATGGTCAATTGTGTCAAACGCTGCACTAAGATCTAATAAAACAAGTACAGAGACAAGTCCTTTGTCTGAAGCAATCAGAAGGTCATTTGTAATTCTAACTAGTGCTTTCTCAGTGCTATGATGCACTCTAAATCCTGACTGAAATTCCTCAAATAAATTATTATCATGGAGAAAATCACACAGCTGGTCTGCGACTACTTTCTCAAGGATCTTTGAAAAAAAGAGAAGATTAGATATTGATCTATAGTTGGCTAACACCTCTGGATCCAGGGTGGGCTTTTTTTGCTTGCTAATCATATATTTACATTTCCCTCATCTTTACCACATCATGTGTACATAACCCTAAATAATTAATAACACACATCACAAAAAAACATACAGTGAAAGAGTTTAAGTGTGAATCTTTATGTTGAGATCCACAGGATATTAGTGAATGGAGTCTGATATACATTAAGTAATCACAGCTGGGCTGAATTTAGCCTGTTATTTATTTAATATAAAGTCTGATAGAGTAGTTTATATCGAAGAAAAAAATAAATAAACTAAAGCAAGAAAATACAGCAGCTGATATTTGTAAGTCAATTTTAATCTCTAACAGTAGTGGTTTGACAAGTGATTCAAATGAAATGTATAAACGGAGAAAAGGAAAATGCAAGTTAAGTAAAATACAAACTTGCCATTTTTTGTTCAAGCTTTGATAGATTCCCCAAAAACTGAAGCCATCACTGTAAGAAACAAACTTTCCCTCTGATTTCCTCCTTCTTACGTTCATGTGATATGATGTGGTTTCTTCCTGTGGAGGAAAAAAAACACCAAAACTAAAATTGAACCAAATGCAGTCACTGTGTTAGTTGATGAAGATAACTGGGCTGGATGTAAAAGTATGTAACCACTAAATAGCTGACGTCAGTGGGAGCATGTTAAATCAGTATTTAAACTGAGCTTTCATAAATTTAACTCAACAGTGAATATTTAGCTTTCCTGCGGTTTGTGAAGTAAACATTTTCATACATTGGCCTAACAAAAACCTGAAACAAGATTGTTACTGACTGCATTAGGTACTTAACTTCCCATCATATCTTGTGAATAATGTGATATTGACAGTGTTTTTTGTCTTGAACAGGCACAGTTGTTAAAAGAGACTGCACACCATTCTCAGGCACACGGTGCGTCCCCTGTGTGCATGGCACTTATATGAACCAACCCAATGGCCTCAATAAGTGTTTCCCTTGCACCTCCTGTGACCAGGGTATGTCCATAATGAATTCACATTTCTGTCTTTCTTCATTCTCATTGACAACCTCCAAATTCAGTGTGATTTGGACAAATGTAGAAATGTGGAAAAGGTTTGATTATGTTGATGTTTGACAAAACCATAGTTCACAGTCAAAGCCCAAGGCCCTGACACACTAAGTGTTGGCACGTCGGTAAGCATCTGTTACTCTAGTTGGTGCGCTGTGTCCCACACTGTTGCCTCTCATTGGCTAGGGGTGTGCCATATCATCTTGTTCACAATAATACCGGTTTTAATTTTAATATGATATGAAAAATTCATACAATAAAAAAAAAAGAATGATATTTCAGCTTGTTGACATAATGACTTCATACTGTTACCCACGGCAAGGACAAGCATGGCTGAAAGCAAAATTATTTTTAACTCCTTGGTGGTTCCAAAAAGAGGATCACCTTCAGTAGTGGGCAATAAACTGTGGCGCCCTGAATGTTTTATGAACAGCCCAGGACTTCTCAGACTCTTTTAGCGATTTACCGCTCAGAGGGAACTCATTCAGCGGCTCCTCCTCTGGAAGCAGCACAGCGTCTCTCCCTCTCCTCTCTCACTGTGCGCACACAGGAATTGATGTCGCCAAGTGATTTTGTCATAAACCTTTGGTAATGTACGTGATGCGGCTCAACAAAAAAACTACATATATGTAAATGTGTAATAGTTATGGTATCATAACAGCCTGTTACAGGTTACAGTTTAAGTTAGAGGAGAAATGGCAGAGCATAAAGGTCCAGGTGGAAAAAAAACCCAACTTGATCACTAAGGGTTTTTGAAAAGAGAAGGAAATCACTTGTAGATATATACATTATATTATATTTTTTTGTATTTGGGATCTGTTTAAATGTGTAATTTGTGGTAGATTTTATTTTGTTAATCTATTAATATTGTATACAGAATCTGAATTTCACTCTGAGTTACTGTTGTTGTTTACAAACTAAAGAAATAAGAGATCATTTTTATTTAGCTTTTATTGAATATTTGAAGGCAAACTAATAGGTTGACACGTAAAACGATATCACTTATTTTGTTGTAATTCTATGTTCTTTAATTAATAATACATGCTTTTTTACTAATTTGACATGTCGTCAAGAATATTGTTATCACGCACATACCCTGAAATATCATGATATTATTTTAGGGCCATATTGCCCACCCCTATTGTTGGCTTGGGCTTTAGAAAATGTGATGAGTGCATGTCTCATTTTATTCTGGCACTTTATATATTGAATATATATATGAATATATACTGTATATGAAGACATACTGTATATTGAGTAATCAGTTAAGTCAAGGAATTAATCAGCAGAGTACTGATAATGAAAATAATCCTAAATTGCAGCCAAGGAATTAATATATTTGACACAAAATAAAGGATGTGATAATGTGCTGCTTGGTCAACAGCATGTCTGCTGATCCCTTATAATTAAGGAAATGCTCTTACAGGTTGCGTTTTAGCAAGCCTGTGCTTGATATCGAGCCTTAATTGCACAATGTTTACAGAGTTTAATTCTAAATAATAGAGTATTGACAAATAAAAAGCCATTAGAAATTAATACATCAAAACTGCATTTAAATATTTTTAGGAAACTCCAAGTAAAATTTCATAATGTTATTGCAAAATTCCAGGCTTTAAAATGTAAGTTTTTTTATTGCATTTACCAAGGTGTCATCATATTTTCTCACTATTATTTTATTTCCCGCTTTAACCTTTCGAGTTTTTATTTTGTTATTGATTTAGTTTTAAAGACACCTCTCTTAGCACCTAAAAGCCACCTAAAAGGTATTTGGCCAGCTCCTGTGTGTCATCATATTCCATCTTACAATTATTGTATGTCCTGCTTTAACATTTACAGTTTTTATTTTGTTATTGATTTTTCTTAGCACCTAAAAGCCACCTAAAAAGTAAGTCTAACCCACTGAGCAGCAACAGGAGCTCTGATTGGCTGGCTCCTATGTCAGGAGTTTGGCCAATCAGAGCTCCTGCTGCGACTGTGTGGGTTAGATTTCAATTTTTCTTTGGTTGCAGCCAACCAAGTAGCACGTAATCACATTATTTCAAATATTATTTAAGCTTTAATAAAACATATGAATGTATGTTTAACAATAATACTAATAATTGTGTTTCTGTTGCCTTTAGGTCTCTTTGCCAAACAGCAGTGCACAGCAACAAGTGACACTGTGTGTGGTGTTTTAGAGGGCTACTTCTGCAAATTGAAGGATGATACAGGCTGTAGTTTGGCTCAAAAACATAGACCTTGTGAATCTGGTCACAGGATAAAAACACCTGGTAAGAAAAATTAAAGTCAGACTAGTCTGGCAATGAGTGCCCTCACATGAACACTACCCTGGCTTTGTAACCTGTTTATTCAGCTCCATGTTTACATGGTGTATTTTTAAGTTTCAAGTTTATTCACACGTCAACAAAAAGTACAGTTGCACACACATCAGCACCAGGGTATACCAAAGTATACCCCACAACATGTGAAAAGGGGCACCACATAGAATCTACTTAAAGCTTAATGGGAGTGTAATCAGTATCCAGGTCCTGAGCCTCAGCAACAGTTCAGGTACGTCTTTTACTCCAAATCCAGCAGATTTGTCATTTTTGTGCCTGTGTGGTTCCTGGTGGTCTGGCGCCTCATTTTTAAGGAGAATCCACACTAAATGTTTGCGTGTGTACAAATTAGGAAATGTACAGTACAGGCCAAAAGTTTGGACACACCTTCTCATTCAATGCGTTTTCTTTATTTTCATGACTATTTACATTGTAGATTCTCACTGAAGGCATCAAAACTATGAATGAACACATGTGGAGTTATGTACTTAACAAAAAAAGGTGAAATAACTGAAAACATGTTTTATATTCTAGTTTCTTCAAAATAGCCACCCTTTGCTCTGATTACTGCTTTGCACACTCTTGGCATTCTCTCCATGAGCTTCAAGAGGTAGTCACCTGAAATGGTTTCCACTTCACAGGTGTGCCTTATCAGGGTTAATTAGTGGAATTTCTTGCTTTATCAATGGGGTTGGGACCATCAGTTGTGTTGTGCAGAAGTCAGGTTAATACACAGCCGACAGCCCTATTGGACAACTGTTAAAATTCATATTATGGCAAGAACCAATCAGCTAACTAAAGAAAAACGAGTGGCCATCATTACTTTAAGAAATGAAGGTCAGTCAGTCCGGAAAATTGCAAAAACTTTAAATGTGTCCCCAAGTGGAGTCGCAAAAACCATCAAGCGCTACAACGAAACTGGCACACATGAGGACCGACCCAGGAAAGGAAGACCAAGAGTCACCTCTGCTTCTGAGGATAAGTTCATCCGAGTCACCAGCCTCAGAAATCGCAAGTTAACAGCAGCTCAGATCAGAGACCAGATGAATGCCACACAGAGTTCTAGCAGCAGACCCATCTCTAGAACAACTGTTAAGAGGAGACTGCGCCAATCAGGCCTTCATGGTCAAATAGCTGCTAGGAAACCACTGCTAAGGAGAGGCAACAAGCAGAAGAGATTTGTTTGGGCCAAGAAACACAAGGAATGGACATTAGACCAGTGGAAATCTGTGCTTTGGTCTGATGAGTCCAAATTTGAGATCTTTGGTTCCAACCGCCGTGTCTTTGTGAGACGCAGAAAAGGTGAACGGATGGATTCCACATGCCTGGTTCCCACTGTGAAGCATGGAGGAGGAGGTGTGATGGTGTGGGGGTGTTTTGCTGGTGACACTGTTGGGGATTTATTCAAAATTGAAGGCACACTGAACCAGCATGGCTACCACAGCATCCTGCAGCGACATGCCATCCCATCCGGTTTGCGTTTAGTTGGACGATCATTTATTTTTCAACAGGACAATGACCCCAAACACACCTCCAGGCTGTGTAAGGGCTATTTGACCAAGAAGGAGAGTGATGGAGTGCTGCGGCAGATGACCTGGCCTCCACAGTCACCGGACCTGAACCCAATCGAGATGGTTTGGGGTGAGCTGGACCGCAGAGTGAAGGCAAAGGGGCCAACAAGTGCTAAACACCTCTGGGAACTCCTTCAAGACTGTTGGAAAACCATTTCAGGTGACTACCTCTTGAAGCTCATGGAGAGAATGCCAAGAGTGTGCAAAGCAGTAATCAGAGCAAAGGGTGACTATTTTGAAGAAACTAGAATATAAAACATGTTTTCAGTTATTTCACCTTTTTTTGTTAAGTACATTACTCCACATGTGTTCATTCATAGTTTTGATGCCTTCAGTGAGAATCTACAATGTAAATAGTCATGAAAATAAAGAAAACGCATTGAATGAGAAGGTGTGTCCAAACTTTTGGCCTGTACTGTACATATGGCAAAAAATATTCAGATTTATAAAACCGCGCATACGTCTGCCTGTACGCAATTTCCTTTTATAAATCCCAAAACAATTTGGAATTGTCCACATGTGGACCAGCCTCATGTCCCATCATCTGCCCACAATCAACCATAAATGGTCAATGCAGAGCACCTCATTAATGCTGATGCATAGACATGAGCCGGCTGATCAGTGGTTCTTTACAATAAATCATGGCAACAACCAAAAGGAAAACCAAAAAAAAACAAACAAAACAATATTCCAGACGCAGAAAGAGAGGTGCTTGTGGGTGAGCTGGAGGATAGAAAGCACATAGCCTATTGTTTGGTGGGCATTGGGATCACAAGCTGAAGAAAAGGCAGCGAGTGGGAACATGTTGCTGCTGCTTTTAATGCAGTGAGTTCATCAAACAGGACACTATCTGACTTTTTTTTTAAACTGTCAGATCTAAAGGTGGAAGCCAAAAAAAGAAAAGAATTGCACTCTGACATCTTTGCTAATTTACACAGTCCATATGTGCAGGTGGTGAAGATATGCCAGGTGAGAAGCAGAGTATTGCAGTATCTCCAGTGCACTCTGTGTGCCTGACAGCACACTCATGTTCTCTGCAGCCATTTTACATGTTATACATTACATATTCATTACATATTTTAATGAATTAAGTAATTTAATTTATTCATCACTCTAAGAAGTTGAAGACAATTAGGACTGATTTCCTGCACTGAGATGCATGATAAACCCATACCCTGATCATAACTGTGATATTAGTGTGCATGTAAAAACACTCAATGAAGACACTGAAAGGAGTCTGATAAATGATGGATTGTCACTTGATGTTGGGTTCATATGTCAATAGTCTCACTTTTATTTGTTTCTCTAAGGAACCAACACATCTGATACAGAGTGTGAACCTTGTCAGCATGGCTTTTTTTCAGAGCATGGTGTGGACTGCACGGCTTGGACAACGTAAGACATTTTTTGTTAAGGAATAACTTGAAAAAGTAGGATTAATATTGTTTTTGCACTATATTTTTCACTACGTGGATTATTGTTTATGTTGCGTTCACATGGACTCAGGCAGACGATAGAAGGAGAACACCCTCTGGCTGGCACTTGAAAAACAAATAAACAGTCCGACTGAATGGCAGGACCGCAAAAGAAAAATGCATTATGGTATGTTGCTACAGTGATGTCGTGTTGTTTATGAAAAATAGAATAAAATATATGAAGTAATTATTTCTCGTAATTAAAACATCTTACGTAATATTTCTAGAAATGTCTAGTAACTGTCCAGATCACCCGTGTTTGCTCCTTGTATAAGGAAGTTGTGTAACATCCAGTTGTATATTCTGTCACAGAGGTAGGCAAAAGGTTAGCATATTTCAACTTTGGACGGCGGTGCCATCTACGTTATCATAGCCTGTATTCATTACAGGCCTGACCTAATTTTACCGCTCTGCTCTTGTACATTTAAGTGATATCCGGTTTTCCATCCTCCATCTGCCTGAATCCATGTAAACGCACCATTAGAAGCTGAGTTTTATGGCTTCAAATTCTGCCCATAATTAAGCAAATCCTTCCCATCTATACAGTCATTTTCAAATCACAGCCCATCTCTTAAGTTTTATTTCAAACAAATGTCACAAAAGTAACTTTCAGTGTACTTATTTCAGTGTTATTTTAATATTGTTTTGTGACCAGCTTTATACTTTTAGCATTATGATGTCACTTCAAAATAACTTTTCATTTGACACACAAAGTACTGAAGCTGTCTGTCACTTCTCTTTTCCAACAGGTGCTCAGAAACTCAAGTAATGATCCATGAAGGAGACGCGCACAGTGATGTTGTCTGTAAAGCAACTGAGCCAAGAGTGCATTACTTCTTATCCATACCTTTGTTATTATTATTATTAACAATTGTTGGGCTTCGTATCAAAGGTTAGTTTTTGTTTTTCATCCCTGGTTTGACTGCCTAATATATAACATCATTTCCTCCCATTGTTTTCGCTCATTGTCTCCAGTGGATGGTTGCTAATGCTTTTAGCTAATACTTTTCTTGCTTTTGGATTTTAGGTTGCTGGAACAGACATCTGCCTGAGGATCTTTAAGTAAGCATCAGTCAGGGGTATGCTGAATATGCATTCAATCCACAGTGGACCCTTTAATATGAGAGAACTGTCTCAACTTAATTTCTGGCTCTCCCTGTTAGCAGACACTCAAATCGTCGAAGTAATTCCTCATATACCAGATGATAACAGGGATCACATGATCGTCACAAGTCTGGTCTTTTTCCTACCAACAAGTATTGTGCAACCTGTTAATAAAATAATTGTAACAGAACTGAAAAGTGCACACGTATGCAAAGCAGTCAGTTTGGAAACCAGCTGGGACGTAACATGCACAGAAAAACAGAAGGAAAAGGCTGTGCTGACTGAAACTGCAAAGTGTTCTAAGATAACTCATTTATGTAAGACGATGATGAGGACAGTGGCAGCGATGCAGAAGCATCAGAGAGGAGTAAGCACTGAGGAAATGCTTTGTCCTCCTCACATGCTATATGCTGTAAATGTAATTTGTACAATGGCCCTGAAGGGCAGAGCAGAACAGCAATAAAGAAAACATAACTGCAGACCACAAAACGAGATTTAGTGAGACTCAAACCGGAATAGGTAGGTATGTAGTGGACAACATATATTACTATAATACTAAGTTGTAGTATAACTATAGAAGATTAAAAAAAACACACAATTTATCCCAAGGGAAACTGCTGTAAAAGTAGGAGTGCAAATATAAATGCCAAACATTCATGTTATAGCCAGTCTGCAAAGCCAGGGGTCAGTATGCCTGGGTCCCCGTCCCTGCCTGCTGCATGGCACACAGTGCACCTGAGCCTGATGCCTGAACCTGACCAAGCCCCATGACTGAAAGCCCAGCCACCAGACACTCTCCAGCAAGCTCCTCCCTCAGGTCTGGCCCAATGTCCCCACACAATGTACTCATTTTCTGAGTATGCTCTCCCATAACGGTCGTGTTGAATCGCTCTTTGTCTGGCCCCTACCCAGGGACTTTATCTTGGGAGATCCTACCAGGAGCTGTTTGCCCTGGACAACACAGCTCCCACAATCATGGGGTTAAGCAAATCCCTCGACCATGACCAGGTGGTGATTTTTGGATTCTCTAGATTCAAACCCTCACCTGTGGTCATGAGCTTGGGGTGCTGACCAAAAGAATGAGATTGCAGATCCATGTGGCTGTAATGAGTTGAGCTACTGCTGCTGGTCGAGGGACCAGTTGAGGTGGTTCAGGCATCTGATCAGGATCCTCCTGGGTACCCTCCCATTAGAGGTACTCAGGGCACATCCAACTGGTAGGAGGCTGAGGGTGGACCCAGAACACGCTTGAGGGGTTGCATATTTCTTCTGGGCTGAGAGTGCCTTTGTGATTTAGCCTGAGAGCAGAGCCGATCTTCCTTCAGGCGCCATTTGTGTGTAGACCTATTGTTTGTGGGACAGATGTAAAGCTCTGGTAGCCCTACACTAAAGTGATCAACTTCTTCTCCATATTTATCACAGACTGATATTTACAGATGAAGGGAAAGATGTCCGTCAGTTGTGAGTGGTTGTTCCTCGTCACATGATCACTGCTGCACTCCAAAAAGTTGAACTCTGATTGTCTCAGGGCGCAGCCATTGCACCCTCAAAATAATCAACACGTGTGCGCTGTGACAGCATCGCTTTGGTGTTTGAGTGCACCTGCCATGCGTGTGCATTGAAAACAATGAATTTGACGGTGAAACTTAAATAAATCTATTCTGAGGCATATTTGTTTTGTTAAAACATTGTCCACACTTAATCTTCTCTTGTTTCTTAGTGAACAAAAGCATCTGGCTAATTATGATCCATAAGTCAGTCACATTGTTCAGTTTATCTTTCTCTGCACAGCATTTCCTCATTAACACATTGATTTCATGTTTCACTCTTTGTCTAACTCTTTGTAATTGCACTCTTCCCACTTTGTAATCCATTACGGCATAGTAATTCCCTCAGGAGAAATACTCTGTGTGTCACAGGCTGACAGATAGTGCATCCAATCACTGACAGTGATTCCATTTTTTATTTTTTATTTGGATCTCTTTTAGCTCAATGGCTATTCCTCCAAGAGCCCAGAGGAATCATTCTTTAAAAGGAACCTATTCTGGTTGGAGTCTTACCAAATCATGTTACAGTTGTGTGGTTTGTTGTTGGGTTTCCTCTTTTGCTGTTGTGCTTTGCCCTTTGTGGCCTCTGTAAATATGTTTGTCATATTATATAGATATAGTGTTTATGTTTTTGTTTGGTTGTTGTAATGTAGTTTTGTGCTGATACGTTTTTCATGTCACCATTGGAACCAAAACATAAAAAACAGGAAACGGAAAAAAACAAATGTCAGACCCTGTGGTGTGTGTGTGTGTGTGTGTGTGTGTGTGTGTTTTATTTATTTATTAAATTTCAAAGGATCAAAGTAGAAATTTGTGAAACATTCATGCAGAATTTAATTAATTAAACACAAACTTTCAAATCATGGGTTCATATTTACAAATTCTGAGTGTTGCAGATAGAAAGAGATGACATTATAACATAACCAAACATAACTTTTTGCCCCGCTGCCCAGACATAAAAGGGGGCTAGAAAAGTCCAGCACTCTTGGGATTTTGACAAACCAGGCAGTCTCAAACTTTTTCATGTCAAAACCAAAACAGGTGCACAATAGACCACAGGTCCATGTTTGAGAGGATTTTGTCTGAAAGACTCCCCTCTAAAAAAAGATGCATTCCCTGCAAGTTAGTGTAATAAACATGAAATTAATCTACTTGTTGTGGTGTGAAGCTCCCCCAGGGACCCCTGGTGGTCTTCGAATCCCAGTTAGTAAATCAATCTTCTTCTTCTTCTCCTTCTTCTTCTCAGCCACTCGATAACCACATTACAAAGTGGATAAAATATTGATGTCGCATGAATCAATACATACATAGATGCATAGATACTAAATCAATAACAGGATTTCAAAAATGATACTAAGCCTATTATCAGTGGCATCAACACTACACCCTATAACCCAGTTTGTTTGTTTTAATACTGAAACAACTAAAGTTTTAATCGTAATTGCAAGATTGCAAAGCACAATACGAGCACATATTCTTTGTGTTATTTCCTCCCCCAGTAGCAGTTGTCAAAAAACAAAAAAAAAAAAGTTTTGTCTCTTTTTCTCTTGCTGTAACAAAGCTGTGCCTTGATACTTTTTTTTATCTGTTTTTAATCTTTTTCAATAAAATTTCACTGTTGAAATACATAATTTGCTTTCATTGTGTTTCTTAATGTTCTAATGTATTTCTTCTCTACTTTGTGTAGCATACTTCACACTGCCTCTGTGTTTCAGTGGTGTTATTAAAGATAAATGTACTTTGCCTTTACTGAGCCTTCTGAATCTCAAAAGTATCCAGTATTGATTGAACATGTTTCATTTACTATAGAACTTATCTTGGTTCTCTAATATCTCTGTTCTCTAGAAACATCTTTGTATTAATGTGACATTAATGATGGGGGTTATGAGTGAGGACCTGCTTTAGGACGGCTGGTTCTGTCTCTGACTCTGTTATGTGGCTCAGTATCCTGACGGCATTCGTGTCCTTCATCACTAACAGTTACATGGACATATGAAAGCCTGGCTTGGACTTAATAAATACAGGCTGTCTGGTTTGTGGATTAACATCATCAGACCACTGTAAAACTACATTTCTGACCTCCTGTAGCTGAATATGTTCAATATGAGCACCTTCTAAGACAAACTAAAGATTTTTTACTTGGTCATAAAACACCTAAAGAACAATATGACCAAACACAGGAAATGATCACAGTAAAAATATTTGATATATTTTCCATCATCATAGTGACATTGAAAAAGTTGGTTGGTTTGGAATATTGTTTGCAGACTCTCCTAAAACCTCCTAAAATGGAATCTATACAACAAAACCTACTGCTTAAACTGGTAGTAGTGTTTATACTGCAAGTTTTGAAATAATGCTATGTCAATAGTAATAAACTTTATTACTTCTCTTTACACACTTTTAAAGTCTGTGAAGTGAATCACAGCATTGCCTACAGCCCCTTTTCATTCTACAGGGTCAAATGTAAGAATGCCATTGAAGAAGAAGAGGAAGAAGATGAACTTAATTGATCCCCAAGAGGAAATTCATTTCTTTCACTCTGATGTCATATACACACAGGCCTGAAATACACACACATGCACAAACAGGACCTGTACTTGTATTAAATCAGAGCTGTCAGAGCGAGGATGCTGCCCATGGACAGGAGCCTCAACCAGATGGGGGTTCAGTGCCTTGCTCAAGGGTACCTCTGCAGTGCCCAGGACATGAACTGGCACCTTTCTAGCCACCAGTACACACTCCATATTTGGTCTGGATGGGAACCTGAACCAGCAACCTGTAAGCAGGTTTGATTTCAGTGATATGGAGGGAGAAATTCCTGAATGATCATACACCTTGAGTAATTAAAATGGCTTCAGACTATCATAAATAGATTACTGGAATCCCGGTTTTCACTGTTCAGGGCAGATGGCAGACAGCGTGTGTGGCCCATGGTGGTGGTGGGGTTATGGTATGGGTAGGCGTATGCTATGGACAATGAACACAGGTGCATTTTATTGATGGCATTTTGAATGCACAGAGATACCGTGACGAGATCCTGAGGCCCACTGTTGTGCCATTCATCCACGACCATCACCTCATGTTGCAGCATGATAATGCACGGCCCCATGTTGCAAGGATCTGTACACAATTCCTGGAAGCTGAAAACATCCCAGTTCTTGCATGGCCAGCATACTCACCGGATATGTCACCCATCGGATTGGCGTATACGACAGCGTGTTCCAGTTCCTGCCAATATCCAGCAACTTCGCACAGCCATTGAAGAGGAGTGGACCAACATTCCACAGGCCACAATCAACAACCTGATCAACTCTATGCAAAGGAGATGTGTTGCACTGCGTGAGGCAAATGGTTGTCACACCAGATACTGACTGGTTCTCTGACCCCCCCCCCAGACCCCCCAGTAGAGCAAAACTGCACATTTCAGAGTGGCCTTTTATTGTGGCCAGCCTAAGGCACACATGTGCAATATTCGTGCTGTCTAATCAGCATCTTGATATGCCACACCTGTGAGGTGGGATGGATTATCTCGGCAAAGGAGAAGTGCTCACTAACACAGATTTAGACAGATTTGTGAACAATATTTGTGAGAAATGGTCTTTTGTGTATATAGAAAATGTTTTAGATCTTTGAGTTCAGCTCATGAAAAATGGGAGCAAAAACAAAAGTGTTGCGTTTATATTTTTGTTCAGAGTAAAAGCAGAAAATGAATTTAATCTTTGGTTACAGAGAGATCTTTCCTTCAAGGGATGTGTCCTCTCATTGAAAGCCAAAGGCATATCGAGGCTTGTTTACACTGTGGGAAAATGTATATCTCTCCATCCTGTAAAAATAATTCCTTTGTGTATAATTCCAAAGGAATTATAGTTTTATCCTGCAAAGCAGGATTTTTTGAAGACTTTTAAGAATGATATTGATATAAATTATTCTTTTTGTTCAACTCATCCAGAAACTGTGCCCCGTCTGTTCTGGCACTGTCAGTACTCTGGAAAATTATGGAGAGGTGTTTCCAAATGTTTTGACACAGTGTGCAAAGAGTTTGCATTATTTCATGAATATGGTATTTTCAGATTATTTGCCTATGACAGGAAATTTGGCATATAGCATAAATCTACCAATTATTCTTTTTCTTACCTATACATTAGTGTAAATTTACAAACCAAAACCCCCTCTTAACTGTGTTTTACAAAGTTTTGAAAATTACATAAAATTGGCTATTAAAAATGTACTGGCATGTATTAACTGTAAAGTATGTAAGTGAGATGTGATCCAAGCTGTTGTGAAGGAACAGTTCTCTTGGAATGATCTTTGGACTTTGGACTGGATAAAAAAGAGACACTTGTTTTCCATCTATGATTTGTGGCTGAATGTAAATGGGCCGTGATTCTTAAATAGTTTGTACTGTTACAAATGTGCCTTCAATGTGCCTTCAGTTTCTTTTTCCTGGCTTGTTTTTGCAATGTGCATATTGTTACTGTCAAAATAGGCAATTTTGTTAAATACAACTGATTTAAAAAACTAAACAAACAAACAAAAAATACTCCTGGATGTGGTGCAATGGACTTTGTCTTTTTTTTCTGGGGGGTTTCGTGCCACTACCCTCTGTACAGTCAGACTTGTCCCTCTGGACCATCCATTCTAGCTTTAACCTGAGACAAAGTTCCAGCAGACGGCAACGTTTTTATTCAACATTTTGAAACAGACTTTTCAGCTAACTTAGCTAGTGTGCTAGCTGTGCTAGCTTATGCTGGCAGCCACAAACAAATGACTATGATTAATTGTCCGATAATTGTCAGATGATTTAAACAAAGAGCACTCTTCCTTGCGGTGGTCCTTCTTAAATGAGCAGTGGTTAATGTTACCATATTCTGTTATGATTGGGGAGATAATAAGCAGGCTAGCTAGTGCTAGCATAGCTACCTTGTTAAAACGTTGACTGCTCCCACTGCCCAAGTGATTGGCTGAATAAGTTGGACTGATGACTGATAAGGAGATCGTGAGCCTCTAATTGGCCACATAAAAAAAATGATTGACAGATACCCAGAATGTCTGAAAGAATATATTGCTTTAACTCATTGTTAAAAGCAATAAATCATAGTTTTCCACACATGAATTTACATTTATGAATATGGAATTATAGAAATAATCATGTATGTCGTGTAAGGTTCTTTTCTCATATGTGTTACTTTTCAGGAGACCAAACAACACATTCCTCCAAGGCAAGACAAAACCTACATCAATATTTTTATTAATAAAATCACACACGTTAAGCCAAAAGTACTTCACAGAGGGCAATGCCAAAATAAATGCAACAGTTAGGGTACATTCAAAGCAGAAACTACAGTTCACATCAATATCTCTCTTAAATCTTTTTTAACATAGTCATTAACAGGATAGAATTTATGAATTAGTTTAAAACAAATTTCTTTAACTTTATTAGTGATTAAGTATTGATTAGGTAGAAGCCAGACTTTCTTCCAGTCCATATCATCCACAAATTTAACCCAGTATGAGATCACATATGGAAAAGTAATAATATCCCATTGGAACAGAGTTCTTGTCAATCTGTTGTTCTTACTGGAAAAACAAATTTTGCCTATTGGAGTGTCTGATGGAGATAACAAGGACAATTGTTGGATATTAACCCCTGGTTGAGATTTACACAGCATACAGACTCGAGAGGGTATTGGACCAAAGACTTTAGCATAATCCCCCGGTGATACAGGGATATTAAATTCTGATGACTGTCCTTATTAAATAACAGAGTGACATGCACAATATAAACCAGTATTCTATAAAGTGGGATTTATGTTTATACAGAATATCGTTGTTACTCCATAGCCTATATCATTAATATGAAGTGAAAAGTTGTGTTTTTATATATTGTGTAAGAGCCCATGATAAGAAGGCCCGGTGATAAAAAGCAGACATTTAAACAGGATTTTATCAATATCATAGTTACCAACCAAAATAAATTTAAACAACCCAGCTTTGATAGTATATGGAGAGGTATAATGTTCCAGATTGAGGTAGGGTTTTTTTAAACTGTCAGTTTATCTTAGGTGTATTACGAAGAGTATGAAAATCCAAACAATTTAGCCCACCATTTTCATAAGCATTCATGAGAACAGATTTCTTCAAGTGATGTGTCCTATTTTTCCATATGAAATTGAAGAGCATTTTATATAAGCTTGTTATCTGGATACAAAGGCAAAGCTTGAGAGAGTCCCTCTGCTGTTGTAATCAATACTCTCCCTCTTAATGAGAGATCTCTTCAGGGTCATTGGTTTAATTTTCTTTGAGTTTTTTGTATAATAGGATTTACATTTAAGGAAGTTCTCCTTTGTTGATGCTTAGTAATTATTATATCCAAGTACAGCACTTTGTATATTTATCAGAATATTATAAAGGAATGATTTAGAGCACTCCTTAATCACCATAAGTTCATATTTATTGAACACAACACATATTTTAAGAAAAGTGTGGTGTCATCCACCAGTTGAGTGATGACTAGTTCTCTGCCAATATAAGAGATACCCTTCACAGCACTAGATTTAATATGGTCTGCTAAAAGTTGAGCCACTAACAGGAAGAGGTATGGAGAGACGGGGCGACCCTGTCTGATGTCTCTTGACAAATTAAATCTCTGGAAAGTACCACCCATTAGTTAAAAGGAACCATTATAGTTGCTGTAAATAGCTTCTACTTTTTTGAAGTTGCCTGAGGAAGACCATTTGGGTCAAAACGTTGTATTTTAGTCAATAAAGTAAACTGGGAGCTCTAATTCAGTGTGCAGATTTTCTTCTCCTTTCTGCATGGACCCCTATTATCCAGCACCTGACCAAAAACAGGATTGGATGTGTGCACAACTACTCTGTCTTCTGGCAAATAAAGTGGCCAGCTGTATCACATTCTGTCAGCAAGACATCTCTGTTAAACTTGTTCTTCAACGTCTCTACTCCAGCTGAGCATTCTGTGCCATAACAGAGCCATATATTGTCACCCCATTGAGATTTCCAGTAATTGGCATCATTTGAGATTGAGTGAGATTCTTGCACAAAGAAAACTGACTTAAACTGCTTAGCAAAAAGAAATAAAGCTTTCCATTTAATATTATTTTACAACCCCCTAGCGTTGAGTGAAACAATAGATAACACTAACAGACTGATACAACAGTAGCAAACAGATGTACGTTTTCGATTAAGTCACATCAAACTTTGATTTAGACTGAACTCGAGTCAATGCACCGAGAACAGCATCAGTGCAGTGCCACAACTAAGCATAACTAAGGTAAACCAGTTTGTAAACAGTTGGCTATAAATCTTCTCATTTTGGAAAGTACACACACACATATATATATATATATACAGTACAGGCCAAAAGTTTGGACACACCTTCTCATTCAATGCGTTTTCTTTATTTTCATGACTATTTACATTGTAGATTCTCACTGAAGGCATCAAAACTATGAATGAACACATGTGGAGTTATGTACTTAACAAAAAAAGGTGAAATAACTGAAAACATGTTTTATATTCTAGTTTCTTCAAAATAGCCACCCTTTGCTCTGATTACTGCTTTGCACACTCTTGGCATTCTCTCCATGAGCTTCAAGAGGTAGTCACCTGAAATGGTTTCCACTTCACAGGTGTGCCTTATCAGGGTTAATTAGTGGAATTTCTTGCTTTATCAATGGGGTTGGGACCATCAGTTGTGTTGTGCAGAAGTCAGGTTAATACACAGCCGACAGCCCTATTGGACAACTGTTAAAATTCATATTATGGCAAGAACCAATCAGCTAACTAAAGAAAAACGAGTGGCCATCATTACTTTAAGAAATGAAGGTCAGTCAGTCCGGAAAATTGCAAAAACTTTAAATGTGTCCCCAAGTGGAGTCGCAAAAACCATCAAGCGCTACAACGAAACTGGCACACATGAGGACCGACCCAGGAAAGGAAGACCAAGAGTCACCTCTGCTTCTGAGGATAAGTTCATCCGAGTCACCAGCCTCAGAAATCGCAAGTTAACAGCAGCTCAGATCAGAGACCAGATGAATGCCACACAGAGTTCTAGCAGCAGACCCATCTCTAGAACAACTGTTAAGAGGAGACTGCGCCAATCAGGCCTTCATGGTCAAATAGCTGCTAGGAAACCACTGCTAAGGAGAGGCAACAAGCAGAAGAGATTTGTTTGGGCCAAGAAACACAAGGAATGGACATTAGACCAGTGGAAATCTGTGCTTTGGTCTGATGAGTCCAAATTTGAGATCTTTGGTTCCAACCGCCGTGTCTTTGTGAGACGCAGAAAAGGTGAACGGATGGATTCCACATGCCTGGTTCCCACTGTGAAGCATGGAGGAGGAGGTGTGATGGTGTGGGGGTGTTTTGCTGGTGACACTGTTGGGGATTTATTCAAAATTGAAGGCACACTGAACCAGCATGGCTACCACAGCATCCTGCAGCGACATGCCATCCCATCCGGTTTGCGTTTAGTTGGACGATCATTTATTTTTCAACAGGACAATGACCCCAAACACACCTCCAGGCTGTGTAAGGGCTATTTGACCAAGAAGGAGAGTGATGGAGTGCTGCGGCAGATGACCTGGCCTCCACAGTCACCGGACCTGAACCCAATCGAGATGGTTTGGGGTGAGCTGGACCGCAGAGTGAAGGCAAAGGGGCCAACAAGTGCTAAACACCTCTGGGAACTCCTTCAAGACTGTTGGAAAACCATTTCAGGTGACTACCTCTTGAAGCTCATGGAGAGAATGCCAAGAGTGTGCAAAGCAGTAATCAGAGCAAAGGGTGGCTATTTTGAAGAAACTAGAATATAAAACATGTTTTCAGTTATTTCACCTTTTTTTGTTAAGTACATAACTCCACATGTGTTCATTCATAGTTTTGATGCCTTCAGTGAGAATCTACAATGTAAATAGTCATGAAAATAAAGAAAACGCATTGAATGAGAAGGTGTGTCCAAACTTTTGGCCTGTACTGTATATATATATATATATATAGATAGATATATATAACTATCTGTGTCATACTCAAGCTCGGGTCCTCTTCCAGAGGCCTGGGTTTGAGGGTACTGCACAGTATCTTAGCTGTTCCTAGGACTGCACACTTCTGGACTTAGGCTTCAGATGTTGTTCCTGGAATCTGCCGGAGGCGGAGCCACTCTCCCAGTTTGGGGGTCACTGCCCCTCTGAAGAAAAGTGCTTTCCAGACTGGATCCCTGTTCCTCCGGGAGATGAACCTTAGAATGATGCAGCTGGGCCTCTGGTCATCCTGGCAATGTTTCCCCCCTTGATGTGCAACATCTACGGCATCAGGAAGCCTGGCATATACTAATCACCTTTGCACACATATGGAACACCGCAGAGCCTAGGGTTTTACCGTCATCTGTATAGTTCCAAGATAGACACACAATTCATCAGGGTAGATCTCTCATTCCTTTCCACTTATTTTTTCCAATTCAGTTAATCTTCTCATTCTTGACTTTTAGTTCACTATGGAAAGTTTCTATAGTTTTCCCATTTGTATAATTCCTGGAGTTAATAACATTAGCCAAAGAGTGAATGGCTTCATTGGAACTTAAAGCACTGTCAGTATGCACCAGATGATGCAAGTTTCTTGGAGACTGGGGGCTTACTTGGTGTCACAGGCAAAGGAGTAAACTCTTCATTGAAAATTACTTGCAGGTTGTATTCTATTCCATTGCTGTAGTTGTGGTCATGGTAGTAGAGGCTAGTGAGCATGCTACTTTTTCCCTCCTTGCTAGTTTCATTCAGTCTTTTTTGACCGGACTTTGTGTGATGTAAGTTCAAAATCAAGCCGGAAAATAATGACGAGCTACTTCAATAATCTTCGCCAACTTAACTTTCTCATATACAGCCAATAAATGCTTCAAATAAAAATTTGGTGGTGAGAGCACAGTGAAGTTAGGACTAGTCATGCCGCAATTTTGGAAGCCCCCCACGGCTTTGATCTATGGGTGTAGCTTGTTTGAGATGAGCCAGGCCCGCTCAGATTCAAACACCAGCGATCGCCGCACAATGCATGCCAGCTGGATTTGTGTCCAACTTCATCAGTGACATCATGCAAAAGTGGACAGTGACATTCTCACGAGAACGAGGGAGCCGCAGTTTTTAGAGCCAGGTGCTGCAGTTGCTCTCCACCAACTACAAGACTGAGGGCATGATGGGAAACGCCTGGCCCTCACCTGATCTAACAGCTGACTGGTTTAGATGCTGACTCAACAATATGACGTTTAATATAAACTCTTAATTTTAGTTCAGTGGGAGAGAGTTTGATTTGATTTGTCTGAATTCAAGGTTTATTCTGTTAACAGAACACATGTTGTGTGACTGATGGTGACGTTTAGCAGTCAGAAGAAATACATTCATCATAAAATATACATAGTCTATTGTAGTCTATTGTATATCAACATTGGACTGTTTTCATTATTGAAGTATTAAGCATCACAGAGACTTGTGGTCAGTGGGATGTGAGGATTCTTGATTTAACATCTGTACAGATGTGAAGCCCTGACTATATCTGACTGATCTGTGATGAAAGCAGTTGTGTTGTATTTCTTTTCTCTGCGTTTGACCGTTAGGCTGATGTTTTCAATTCATTTATGTAGTTGAGGGGATATGTCTGGTCTGTTGCAACAAACTGACATGATGCTGATTTACATGGGAATTCAATGTCAAATGGAGGTTGAACCATGAGCATAAACTACAGATCGCCTGTAAAGCATTTTAATAAGCTACTCTGTCACGATTAAAACAATCAGAGACTGAGAACAAACTATTATATGAGTTTGATAACATTTTAATGAACCCGCATGCCGCATCAGATCTAACGTTAACAGGATGTGTGTTTCTGTGACTTCCGTCGCTGCAGCCATCTCGCACACGCACCCAGAGATATTCTCGACCGAGCTACATGCATCACCGCACATGTTGCGCTTTAATACTAAACCGATAATATTCTTTTGGGGGAATTCCAGAGATAATATTAGCTAAATTTACGTCGTTTGCCTTTGTTTTCTCCAAAAACTATACTGTTGTTTCCAAAATTTAATGAAACTAACGTTATGAAACGTTAGTAACATGCGTTATAATGCTTTCGATATTGGCTGTCTTCGGTAAGTATCTTAAAAGTAACGTTAGATAAATGTCCTTTCCTGGTTCATGCCAACGTTAGCCTAGCTAAATGTTTCTAACGCAGAGAACTAAACAAAGAAACCTCTGTGTCTGTAAGGGTGTTTGGCTGTCTTCATGGCACCAGGGCTGTGCTGTCTTGAAAAGGAATATAAAACAAGTGATGGACGATGTTGTCCGATGTGTCACGAAGGTAAGTTAAAACTCTCTAACGTTAGCTGTATGAGCCGTAGATCGTTTATATAAGCGACCTTGGGCAACAAATATAGTTTGCAGCTAGTTGTGGGCCTTGTTATCTTTTCTACATCTGTCCTGTTGTAACGTTACTTGGACTCGGTATAACGGAAATACTAATAATAATAGTTGTAATGTACATTACATTCTAACAGTTTCTCAGTTCACTGCAGCTGTATTAATTCATTTGATCTGTTTTCTGATGCAGCCAGTTAAGTGCAGTTAAAGTTTACAACTTCTAACTTAGCAAATACAGATCAGTAGATTGATTCATATTCATGTTATTACACACCCACCTAGCAAACCTGTTAAGTTCATCATGAATTCTGCAAAAAGGGAGTTGCACAGGCTTGATCTCAGGACCTTCATATCTCTTGATGACTTACTGCCTCATGGTATTACACTACACCTCTGTAATACCATGAGGCATGGTTGCTTACAATATAATTTGAATAGAAACACATAGGTTTATTCTGAAACAACTCAAATGTTAGACATACATAAAACATACAGTGAAAGAGTATAAGTGTGAATCTTCATGTTGAGATCCACAGAATATTCAATTCAATTCAATTTCAATTTTATTTATAAAGCCCAATATCACAAATCACAATTTGCCTCACAGGGCTTTACAGCATACAACATCCCTCTGTCCTTTGGACCCTCACAGTGGATAAGGAAAAACTTCCCAAAAAAAACCCTTTAACGGGGGAAAAAAATGGTAGAAACCTCAGGAAGAGCAACTGGGGAGGGATCCCTCTTCCAGGATGGACAGACGTGCAAAAGATGTCGTAGATTAGTGAATGGAGTCTGATATACATTAAGTAATGACAGCTGGGCTGAATTTAGCCTTATAATTATTTAATATAAAGTCTGATAGAGTAGTTTATATCGAAAAAGAAGCTAAACTAAAGCAAGAAATCACAGCAACTGATATTTGAAAGTCAGTTAAAGTTAAGTAAAATGCAAACACTGTAAGGAACAAACTTTCCCTCTGACTTCTTTCTTAGTACATTCATGCGATATGATATGGTTTCTTCCTGCGTTAAAAAGAAAAGAAAAGAAAAAAAAAACACTCTAAAATTGAACCAAATGCAGTCGGATTGTTTTATAGTTACTGTTTGTAGATACTGGACTGGATGTAAAAGTATTTAACCACTAAATAGCTGATGTCAGTGGGAGCATCTTTAAGCAGTAGTTCAACAGAGCTTTTAGAAGAGGAATAGTTAGGTAGGAATATAAGAAGTGAATATTCAGCCTTCCAGCAGTCTGTGAAGTAAGCATTTTCATATACTGGCCTCATAAAGACCTGAAACAAGATTGTTACTGACTGCATTAGGTACTTAACCCACAGTCTTTGTAATTATTACTTCCCATCATATCTTGTTAATAATGTGATGTTGACAGTGTGTTTTTGTCTTGAACAGGTACAGTTGTTAAAAGAGACTGCACAACAGAGTCAGGCACACGGTGTGTCCCCTGTGTGAATGGGACTTATATGAACCAACCCAATGGCCTGAAAAAGTGTTTCCCCTGCACGTCCTGTGACCAGGGTATGTTCATAATGAATTAACATTTCTGTCTTTCGTCATTCTCATTGACAACCTCCAAATTCAGTTTGATTTGGACGAATGCAGTAGTTTGGATAAGGTTTGATTAAATTGACAGCCAAAACCTTAAACCCACTGGGGTGCTCCATTTAGGTCATTTTTTAAAGAAATGTCAAGAAGTCACAAATGTGAATATTTGCTAACCTCATGACAGTAATTTGACTACATCACCTTTGGCTCTGGGAAACACGATGGATGCATTTTTCATTTTATTCTGGCACCGCATATATCGAACAAGTAATCAATTAAGTCAATGAATTAATCAGCAGAGTATTGATAATGAAAGTAATTCTAAGTTGCAGCCCTGGTAATGAATGTAGTTTGACACAAAATAAATGATGTGATAATGCGCTGCTTGGTTTGCGGCATGTTTGCTTAAAAGTGATAAAACAAGATTTAATGGGAAAAATAACTGATGCACTTAGGTGGGATTTTCCTCTTTAGGATTTTAATTGATTTTTTTAATACATGAATCAATATAATTCAAATGCAGAGGTGGAAAGACGTTAATGCTTTATAGTAGTAATCTATGAGTAATATGATGTCATATCCACAAGAAAAGGGTCATAATATACGAGATTAAACTTGTAAATTTATGAGAAAAGAGTCACAGATAAAGACTGGAAAATCAACTAACAGTGACAAAGTATAAATGAAGGATCAGAAGTGATAGATAAATAGTGTGTGTGACTGTGTGAAGCAAAACATGTTTACTTAGACTGAACAACATTGAATGGGACAGTGTGACAAGAGCAGAGTGATCTAAGATAAATGTGTGACATCGGGGCAGAACGAGCTGTGGTAGAACGCCAGGTGTTAAGATAAAATAACACAAGTGCTGGAAATGGCAAGAAATCACACCCACAGATACACACACATGGAAAGGTTGATATGATGTTTATCTGAGGAGGAGTATAAGAATGTTTGGTGAACTGCTCTGATGTGTTGTCTCATTGCTGCTGCATTTGAAGTTGTAAGTTGTGTCTTCAATAAAATATCCTGCAAGGCTGCGATTGACCCCGTGTCATAGAGTCTTTTTTCAACACAGCGAATGATGTTTTAAATATTTTTAGACTTTGTTGAACAATTGTTTTAAGTAGTTAAGATGTATATAGCTAGTAAATGTATGCTATGTACATACTTTTTCCCAGAACAGCTAAACAGGCCCGTTCGTGTTAACTCTTTGTTTTTGGAAAATTGTTCTCGGAAATATGTCTCATGATTAACAGTCTCTAGAGGTGTATGATGAAATTTTTCCCATGGTGTAGTATTAAAAAACAAATAAATATTGCAATAAATCGTAATATGCAATGTTTAATTGTAAATATAATATATAGTATTGTCAAATAAAAAAAACCCTATAAATTAATTAATTAAGACTGAATTTAAATAATGTGTTATGAAACTCCAAGTAAAAAATAATATGTCATTAAATTTACTGATGTGTCATTCTGTTTCCATAAATTGTTCCTTAATGGTGAATAATTTAATGTCATAATGTAACTACAAAGTTACAGTCTTTTACGTGTAAGTTTTTGTTATCTCATTTACTAAGGTGTCATCATATTCCATCTTACAATTATTGTATGTCCTGCTTTAACATTTACAGTTTTTATTTTGTTATTGATTTTTCTTAGCACCTAAAAGCCACCTAAAAAGTAAGTCTAACCCACTGAGCAGCGACAGGAGCTCTGATTGGCTGGCTCCTATGTCAGGAGTTTGGCTAATCAGAGCTCCTGCTGCGGCTGTGTGGATTGGATTTCATTCAATTTTTCTTTGGTCACAGCCAACCAAGTGGCACATAATCACATTATTTCAAATATTATTTAATCTTGAATAAAATGTATGAATATATGTGTATCAGTAATGTAATGACTGTGTTTCTGTTGCCTTTAGGTCTCTTTGCCAAACAGCAGTGCACAGCAACAAGTGACACTGTGTGTGGTGTTTTAGAGGGCTACTTCTGCAAATTGAAGGATGATACAGGCTGTAGTTTGGCTCAAAAACATAGACCTTGTGAATCTGGTCACAGGATAAAAACACCTGGTAAGAAAAATTAAAGTCAGACTAGTCTGGCAATGAGTGCCCTCACATGAACACTACCCTGGCTTTGTAACCTGTTTATTCTGCTCCATGTTTACATGGTGTTAACAGTATCCAGGTCCTGAGCCTCAGCAACAGTTCATGTACGTCTTTGACTCCAAATCCAGCAGATTTGTTATATCTGTGCCTGTTTGGTTTCTGGTGCTCTGGGGCCAGATGCATAAAACTGTGTGTGTATCCATGACTTTAACTATGTTTTCATACAAAGTCAGAAAAATGAATACACATTGCTTTTTTCAAATTTATAAAGCTGCACGTATGCCTGATTCTGTTCAATAAGTCTCAGTTATTTTGGAGCTGGGGGCACGTGAATAAGCCTTGTTTCCACACCCACAGTTCGCCATAAATGGATGTAGAAACGCACTTAAACACCCGTTTGCATACTGATACTTCTGCCTCCTCCACCCATCATTAGACCCGTCACTGAGAAATAAAGCAAACAAGAAGTGCAGTTTGCATCAGCAAGGGTTCTACAATGGTGTCAGAGCAGCTGTCGTTAGGCACAGCTGTGGATATTGTTTTCAGTGTCTGTACCGCTAATTCATCTCATGTCTCTGCAAACTATCATTGCGGAAAAATGTCAATCATTATAATTATTAAACATCAGAAGGATCATCAGTGATCTGTTCATAGTGCTCATTTTGAAACTGCCTTAACAAATTGCACCACAATCCAAGATCAAATGAAATCATTAACAGAGAGATAATGGCTCAAGTGAAGAATGAAAAATAAATAAATTGAAGTTTATAAATGTGCCTTTGATTTGTAGAACGCTGTTTAGCCTGCCAAAATAGTGATACAATCAGTGAATATCAACGTGAGATGCTCACAATCTCACAGCACATTCGTCCCTTAGAAATACCAGCTAATGTATGGAAAAAGGTGCATGCATGGTATTGGTGTGTATGCATTGTTTATACATCTGGTCCCTGGACTCTGCTGCATTTACCACATCAGAAATTGAAAAGACGAGAGTGACATTTCAGTTTATCAGTCAGAATGGTGTCACATTCTGACCCTCTGACTTTCATTCTGGAACCAGGATATGATGACCTTGGCTTATGCTTATCAGTAAACCTTCTAGGAACAGTGCTACAAGTTAACCTGGGACTAATATTATTCATATCTCAAAATTAGGACTTGACATTTCTGAATTTACTGAGTGTAACTTTGCTGCTTTACCACACTCTGCTGTAGAGTAGAAGTTGTAATGATGAGTTTCAGTTTTCCTGACAGTTGGTTTGTTGAAGAAAAATGCAGAAAACATTGTTATATGTGTATAAATAATTATGTGTAATAAATAATTCATTTAATCCGTCACTCTGAGAAGTTTTGGAGAATCAAAACTGATTTCCTGTACTAAGATGTGTTATAAACCTACAACCCCAATTCCAAAAAAGATGGGACATTGTGTTAAACCTTAATAAAAACATAATACAATGATTTGTAAGTCTTTTGACCTATATCAGTTGAATACAGTCCAAAGACAAAATATTTAATGTTCAAACTGATAAACTTTATTGTTTTTTTCATAAATCATTCTGAATTTAATCCCAGTAACACCTTCCAAAAAGTTAGGATAGGGTCATGTTTACCACTGTGTGACATCACTTTTTCTTTTAACAACACTCAGTGACTAATTGTTGAAGTGTTGCAAGTAAAATTCTTCCCCATTCTCGCTTGATATACAACTTCCAATTGCTCAACAGTCTGGGGTCTCCGTCGTATTTTGGGCTTCATAGTGTTCCACACGTTCACTGGGAGACAGGTCAGAACTGCAGGCAGGACAGTCTAGTACCTGCACTCTTTTACTATGAGGCCATGTTTTAGTATTAAGCAGGGACATCCCTGAAAAAGCTAATGTGCTAAAAGTTAGCGTTACAGAGAAATCCAGTATTCCTCTTAATCCCTCCCCAATTTCTGATTAAGTGGAAATGATAACCCTCAATACACATAATGTTATTCATCCCCACAACAGTCAGTACTTTTTCCCTAAAATGATATATACAAGTGTGCGCTGCACATGTGAGCATTTTGGATGATCCCCTTCGTCCAGTCCTTCCATCTTATTGCATTTAACCATAGTTTTCTTTGTTTTTGGAACAGTTCTACACCAGGATTCGATGACATAATGTAGTATCCTTCCATCCTTGACTTTGAGAAGCACCAACTGTCTCTGTGACCAAAACTAAACATGAAAGACTTGAAACACATGAAACATGAAAACAATAGCACCATCTACTGGCAGAATTAAACTCTTGGACTGTTTGCCCACACACGTTATCTCAAAATGACCATCCTTGCGTGTGAACAACAGTGTTTCAAGGATGCCCCTTTCATATCCAGCCATGATACTATCACCTGTCACCAATTTACCTGTTTACTTGTGGAATGTTTCCAACAGGTGTTTCATAACTTTCACAGTCTTTTGTTGCTCCTGTCCCAACTTTTTTGGAATATGTTGCAGGTATCAAATTCAGAATGAGTTTTCACAAAAAACAATAAAGTTTATCAGTTTGAACATTACATATCTTGGCTTTGTACATCACATTTTACACAGAATCCCAACTTTTTTGGAATCAGAGTTATACACAATGATCATAACTGGGATATTAATGTGCATGTAAAATCACTCAATGAAGACAATGATTGAATTCTGATAAATCGTGGATTTTCTCTGGATATTGGTGTGCTGTTTCATTAATCTCACTTTTATCTGTTTCTCTAAGGAACCAGCAGAACTGATACAGTGTGTGAACCTTGTCAGCCAGGCTATTTTTCACAGTATGGTTTGAACTGCGCAGCTTGGACTATGTAAGTTATTGTTTGTTTGTTTTTTAAATATTTTTTGGGGCCTTTTTGCCTTCAATGAACAGGACAGAGTGAAATGGGGTGAGAGAGAGAGTGGGGGTTGACATGCAGCAAAGGGTTGCAAGCCAGAGTCGAAACTGCAACTGCTGCAGCGAGGCATTGCGTCTATACATGGGGTGCCGGCATTATCCACTACGCAACCAACACCCCTATCTAAGCCATTGTTGAGGAATTACTTGAAAAAGGTTTTTCCTGCCCTGTAGCACCAAACAACCACTTTATTTTTGCACTAATTGGATCATTGATAATGCTGTTTTCACATGGATTCGGGCAGATGATAGATGGCAGATGGACAACACCCTCTGGTCAGCATGGGAAAAACTAATAAAAAGCACAGATTTTTTAAAATGTGAAACTGCTTTATTATTTTTTTACTGGTTTAAATCAGGGGTGGCATGTTGGTGTGGTGGTTAGCGCTATCGCCTTTCAGGAAGAAGGTTCCTGGTTCGATCCCAGGAGGGAGCCCCTCTGTGCGGAGTTTGCATGTTCTCCCCATGTCAGAGTGGGTTTTCTCCAGGTACCTTGGCTTCCTCCCACAGTCCAAAGACATGCAGGTTGGGGATAGGTTAATTGGTGACTGGCAACCTATCCAGAGTGTACCCTGCCTCTCGCCCAATGTCAGCTGGGATAGGCTCCAGTCCCCCTGCAGCCCTCAAGAGGATAAGTGGTTAGAAAATGGATCGATGGTGTGTATACAGCTAGTGAAATGTTGATTTAGAATTCAAATGTCAACGTTATGAATAAAGGTTTGAACTATTCGGTACAGCCCTAGTTATTGTCCATCGCCCATGTTTGCTTCTTGTATGAGGAAACTACTTAACATCCCATGAAGTTACTATTACCATTGCTGGTATTCTCTGCCAGCCTCGCCAAATTTTACTGTCCACAAAATGTAGTGATTGTAGACTGGCAGACTGCAGGCCACATACGGCCCGCCAAAGCTTTCCATCCTCTCTCTCTCAGTCTGTGTGTATCCATGTCTCAGTCCTCAGTCCTGACAGTTGTGCTACTTTAATACATACAGTTTGTGGGCTGGGCTCAGGTGGTTGAATAACCCATATTTTGCTGGTTGAGCTGTACATCACCATGCAAGAATGGGGACAAACAACATGCAGGTTTATTTTGAGTGAATTTGAGCATGAATGGTTGTCAAATAAATATAAATTACAGTTGATGATGATAGTTGATGATGTAGTTAATGATATATGTACCTTCTACTGTCTGCCTGAGTCCATGTAGCATAAGTAGTTGAGCTTTATGGCTTTAAATTTTGGAACAAATCCTACCCATTCACAAGAGTTTCAAAACACTGCCAATTCCCCAGCCTTATTTAACCAAATGTCACAAAACACAACTTTTAATAGCCTTTTTTCAAAGTGTTACTTTTAATATTGATTTGTTTTTAATTAGTGTGATATTACCCACTTTGCACTTTAACATTAGAATAACACTTCAAAATAAGTTTTCATTTGAAACAGACAAAGTACTGAAGCTGTCTTTCATTTCTCTTTTCCAACAGTTGCTCAGAAACCCAAAAAAAGATCAGAGAAGGAGACGCGCACAGTGATGTTGTCTGTAAAGCAACTGCTTCAAGAGTGCATTACTTCTTACCCATACATTTATTATTATCATCATTAACAATTGTTGGGCTTTTGATTGGGGGTTAGTTTTGCATGTTTTGCATCCCTGATTTGACTGCCTAATATATAACATCATTTCCTCCCATTTTTTCCTCATTGTCTCCAGTGGATGGTTGCTAATGGTTTTAGCTAATACATTTCTTGCTTTTGGACTTTAAGTGACCTAAGATTGGGAAAAAAATCAGGTACATTGCGACTTACACTTCCCTGGGACCACTGCCTCGAGAGACACTTCCAGGAACTGTTTGCCCTGGACAGCTCCCACGATTACAGGATTATTTTTGGATTCTACATTCCAACACTCACCTGTGGTCATGAGCTTGGTATGGCTCAGCCTTAGATAGGTTGAGGAGCTCAGAGATCTTGTTGGAGCTCAGCATAGAGTCGCCGCTCCTTTGCATCAAAAGGGGCCAGTTTAGGTGGTTCGAGCATCTGATCAGGATCCTCCTGGGCCCCTCCCGTTAGACTGATCCAAGGCCTGGGGTATACCCAGAGCATGCTGGAGGAATTACATATTTCATCTGGGCTGGGAATGCCTTGGGATCCCCAAGGAGGAGGCTGAAGAGCATTGCTGGGGAGAGGGACGTATAGAGCACCTGCTCAGCCTATTTCCCCTGTGACTGTTGTGGTGAAAAAATAGACTGCGGTGTTGATCAATATTTAGTAAAAAATTCTTCCAGTAAAACCAAAGAAAGTCCAGAGCACTCTGAAGAAAAAACAGGAGGCTAATCAGAAGTCCAATGCAAGAAGGTTTATTCTATGTTCAGAGTTGACATCCAAATAAACCCATTTGAGTTGGTGGTCCGGACCAAGAACTGAACCCACAAGCCTCGGGCACTGACCTTTATACCCAGTCTCTCTCTCTTTCTAATGCTCACTTTCTTAAGATTTTAACCAATCATATGTGTAGAATTACTATTATTTTTTCTAATACATATTGTTGGACTAAGAGTCTCATCCTACTCTCCAATGTGCTATGTGTGAGCTCAGTCCTGCGTGTTCTTTAATGAAGCAATAGGAGAAGATATTCGGTCTCAGTTAATGTAGTTTATTAAGCAGTAAAGGAATAAAATTACAGAGCTCTGGGTCTCAACTTCACGTCCCTGACGAACAACAAAGGTGTGTCAGTTCACGAAGTCTGACCTCCTGTCCTTTCCCTGACCCAGTATATTTGAGCGTAACAGTGTGTCATTGTGCACGCAAGGCGTTGTCCTCTTCTCATTGGCAGTTCCACTTCCTCCTTCACCACACCACGCCCCTGCCTCGTGTTAATCTGACTCCTTCCCGCTGGCGGTGGGGGCGTGGTTCCTGTTTTGAAAGACAAGAGAACAACACAACTCCCTACACGTGCTGTACCTTACTATCTGTATATCACTTTCTATTCTTTTTACCATATATGAAACTAATTATCTAAGCATTGCGGTATGTGCTCCTCAGACTTCATGTCTCTTCCTCTCCTGTACTTCTCCACTTCTGCAAAGCAAACACATTCAGATCAGCTGAAATCATCTCAGTATTCTCATTGTTCACACATCTAAAACTTATATAGTGAAACACAACTTATAGTAAAACACATAAAATCATTCTATTCCCAACAATATACATCACAACATCACTTTTTTGTCACTTGACCCCTGAAAGCCCCCTCAAACCGGTTAAAACAGGTTGGGTTGTTTACATCTTTTCCCCAAAAGTGCCATCCTCAGCAGTTTTTGTTTGACTATGATCTTACACTCAGCTTCACCACACCCCAGACTGCCATCGAAACAACCATCCCTGTGCATCCATGAAGAAAACATGAGTGGCTTGTTCTTTAACCTCATTACCATGACTATATTACGGTTCCGTTCAATTGTAAAACCTTTTGATGTTTTATATTTGCATTTATATTGCATTCTTCCCACTCTGTATTGCATCACGGCAGAGCTGCAATGTTTTAAATAATTCTAAAAAGCATGCTAATTAAGTCAAATTAAGTGCCAGGTAATCATTACATCATTTTTTTAACCCCCCCCCCAAAAGACCTCCAGTGGTCTTGAATGAATCAATACATATAGTAGATAGATGCATAGATACTAAATCAATACCAGCATTTTAAAAATACTACTAGTACCAGTCTTTTTTGTCATCAGTAGTATCAGCGCCTCACTCTGTAACTCAGTGTGTTTAAGTGCTGAAACACAGTCTCAGTCATGCATACAAGATTGCAAACCACAATAAGAGCAGTGTTATTTTCCTTTCTAGTAGCTGATGTCAGAAATATCAGTTGTGTTACTTTGCTTCTTGCTGTAACAAAGCTGTGATATGTGATGCTTTTATCTGTTTATTAATCTATTTTTAAAATAAAATTTCATTGTTGTAATACTTCATTCACTTATTATCATGTTTCTTAATGTTATAATGCATTTCTTCACTTTGTGTACCTTAGCAGGAAAGTTATTAAAAATAAACATACTTTGCCTTTACTGAGCCTTTTTAATCTCAAGGGTGTCCAGTATAGACTGAACATGTTTCGCTTGCTGAAGACCAGACTGAAGGTCTAAAAAGCCTATGAAACAGTGTGAAAGTAAAGATGGCTGCAGTACACACCTGACAGCATTACCAGGAAATGGAGGAATAGATAATACAAGATCTCTTAATCGATTGCAAAGGACTAGAAAGGTCTTACGTGTCTATTAAACACATCTTGGTCCTCTAATATCTCTGTTCTCTAAATTAATCTTTGTATCAAAACGGCATTAATGATGGTGCTAATGAGTGATGTTGACCAGGTTTAAGACTGCTGGTTCAGTCTCTGACTGTTAAATTGCTCAGTATCCTGGTGACATTTATGTCCTTCACCTCTTAACAGCTACATGGACATATGAAAGCCTGGCTTGGACTTTGACTTAATAAATTCAGACTGGTAGATTCATGGATTAACATCATATCACCAGACCACTTTAAAACTGCATCCCTTTGTCTAAACTTTGGTAACATGTTTGATATAAGCACTGTTTATGACTAACTTAAGTTTTTTATTTGGTCACTAGAAAATATATGGGGTTAAAACAATATTAACAAACACAAGAAATCATCACAGCAGAAAAATATTTCAGATATAATCAGTCATTATGGTGACACAGAAAAATGTTGGCTTGGACTGTTGCCTGCAGACTCCTCAATTGAAATCAAAATGACAAAACCTATGGCTTATACTTGCATTACTTTTAACTAGTCCATACCCATTGAGTGCACAGTTGCCCATATGCAGTTTCACATGGTGTGTGTTTGGGATACAGGTCATAGGAAATTGCAGATTAAATAGTAAACTGAACCCATTAAGAAGAGCAATGTGTTAAGAGTTTTTGTGAATTTGATAGTACGATTGCTTTATTGAAAGTACAGTAGTACCATTGCCAATAGTGGGATAGTTAGTGGGCTAAAACTGTACATTAGTAGTTGAGGTAGCACGTTGAAAGGCAGATAGTTAGTGTTTATATGTTGTATTGACTTAAAAAAGGGCGCACTGGTAGAATGACTGACTGACTGACAGAATGACACACTGACAGTTTCCATGATTATGTATGTCCTTTCCGGGTCATTTACAATAGCGCCATCCAGTTGCCAATTAGAGTTAAATTTCTCCAGTCACCTTGAGGCGTCCTGTTCTACATATCTACCAAGTTTAGTAAAAATCAATATGGCGGTTAGGCCTAGATAAGAAATTAGCTCTGTAGCGCCCCCATTTTGTTTGATGGGGTCAATAATGGAGGGTCCCCTCAGATCATGTGTGGTCATATGCCTACAAAGTCGCGTGGTGATCGGTGAAACCCTTGAGATGTTATACACCTTTATGTGATGAGCTACGCCCTCCACAATATTCATTGCCTTATAGAAGCTCAGTTTTAGTAAGTTTTCCAACTTTTGCCAAGAGGGAACTTTAGATATTGATCCCTAGATTATGTTCACCAAGTTTCATGCAGATCAATCAAACTTCCTAGGAAGAGATCAATTTGAAGTGTTTTTCAAAAAAATCAAAATGGCGGAAAATCTATATAACCGGAAGTTATGGGTTCTTGAGGCAAATGTGTTCCTCATGAGGAGAGGCATCTATGTGCAAAGTTTCATGTCTCTACGACATACGGGGCATGAGATATGCCCATTCAAAGTTTGAAATTTCAATAAGTTGCTATAGCGCCCCCCTTTGGCCAATTGATGTAATATTGCTTCATTGACATCCTCCCATGACCCTCTACCACTGTGCCAAATTTCACATGGACTGACCAAGTCAGTGAGGAGAAAAACGTGGAACAGACACACCCACAGACAGAGTTTTCATCATTATATAGTAAGATAGTAAGTACTGAAATAATGCCATATATCAACAGTAATGAAGTCTGTTATGTGTGCATTACAGCAAATAAATAGATAAAAAAAAGAAAAAGAATGGAACATAGCCTACAGACCGTCTTTCATTCTACTACAAGTTCAGATGTTAGAAACCTCAATAGGAGTTATTTTGATGATCAAAATTATTTAGTCAAATTTGTTTCCATCTATGAGCTGTTACAGTATTACTCCTAATCCTGCTACTGCTACTATTGTTAAAACCGAATACTCTTTATTGGTGTAGTTCTTTGCTTTTATTTGTCAGGATCATGTAAAAAAAACAATTTCACACATGAAAAAGAGATATATTATAGGCTACCAGATTTAGCTGTTAAGTAATTTATATCTGCAGTCCTTGGGCAGTTAGACACAGACAGTAATACAACTTATGCAAGTGATACAAATACAAGTTCAGAGTACAATAAATACTTAATTATATCTTTGATCCAAACATACACATTTCAGTCATTACACCCAATGCAATATATACATATATAAATAATAATTCCACTCAGCCAGCAAAGTTGTGAGCTTTTCAGTGATTGAGGTGCAGTATTGTTGATTATTCAACCAACAAAAGAAATCTGAACACAAGACAAAATTCTCTTAATACATATTCTGTGTATTAAGTAGGCTACATCTCAGTGATGTTATGGTTTTAATATCCATCATTTTCAAGGTTTGTTTATGAAGTGATCTGATCATATAGAAGGTTAAAGAGACAGTATATAACTAGATGGCACTCAGCTTATGATGCTCGAAGTACCAAAAAAATACATTTGAAAAACTCAACATCGATGTCTCTTTCCAGAAATCATGACCTGCTTACTCAAGATAATCCACAGACCATTTTTCCTATTTTCTCTCTAATGAACTACAACCACCAACCGTATCACTGCACAGAAGGAGGCGTGCATTTACTCATGGATGAGAGGCTTGTGACAGCACGAGATGTAAACATTAATGATGTTCTCCTTGGCTGAGCTGTAATGTTAGGTGAGCTAGCAGCAGATGCACATTTCTTTCTGCAGGTGATACGGTTTGCAGGAGTGGTTAGGTAGAAAAAATAGCTCCTACACGAAACTGCTCGACTGTCTGTGGATTTGCTCCATGTAATTATTTCAGTGCCCCAATTTGTACTGTTGAATTACTTAATTTGTTCCCTCAGCTTAATTATTTATGCCCTAAAACAACTTAATTAATTTCCTTAAAGCCCCCCTCTGGCCAGTTTTACTTCCTGTTTAACAATTAACATTCTTAAACAGAAAATGGGGGTGAGTTTAATAGTCAGATGTAACATTGGTCCATAACCACAGCAATGAGAGTGCAGCTACAGTAGTCTGTAAAACAGCAATATGGAGTTTAATTTGATGAATTTACTGTTTCACAGAACACAAATAAGACAACAATTGGCACAATGCAATGACTCGTCTTTTCACTTGCTCTCTTCTTTACTATTTCCTCTGTCTCCGTAGGATGGGCAGCGTCCACCAGCACTGGCCACTCTCGCTCTAGTTCAGCACCGACACTGACACGGGCAGCTGTGATTCTTATTATTTTTTTGTCCTTCTAATGGGACTTTTTAAAATTTGTGTGCTTGTGTGCTTTCCAGAATCTGTTGGGGGCCATGGTGCTGGTGGACAGTAAAAAAACTTTCAACATGTCCTGAAACATGTTGCTGAAGACGTGATGAAGAGAGTGAGTGAGAGAGAGTTGGTGGGATCTGGTGTAATTTACTGTGTTGGTTGCAGCCTTTCACCGCACATAGGCTACAAATGCTATTGTGAAAATTAAATTAATGAAATTAAAATTATAATTTGACTGGCTAGCTTAGAACGATATGTATAATATTTATAACAGTACACCTGCGAAAGCTTAGAGGATGACGTATCACGTGCAGATTCTACTAAAGTCATACGTCATCTTCCTGTTTTAGCAACCATCCTCTTTTTTTCTTTATTTTTAACTTTGAGCACAAAATTATTTGCTAAAAATATTTGGCAAACAGCGTAGCTAATCAAACTTGTCCAAATTTGACACAGAAAAATATCAAATATCATAAAAATGCCAGACCTAAAATTAACCACTATCTTTGTTATCTCTTGTATGTATTTAACAGAAATACAGATTGCTATAAAAAATTTATAAATATAAAAACTTAAAACATACTGAGGATTTCCCATTGGTAGATTTGTTTGTTCAAAATGGCAAACTAGTTAATGGCAAAGTTGTGTAATTTTCAGTTGTTTTTCTGAACTCAACATTGAGAGCCATTTCTGTGGAGTGTTATCAGTGGTATATGGCAAGATGGAGCACTATGAAATTCTAATCAGTTATCATCATAAGCCTTCCTGAGATTGTCTTCAGACTGAGATGACAAAAATCCACATCAGTTAATTATTAAACTACCATGTTGACATTTGGAAGACAAGGTGGCTGAGGACAAACAAAGACAGAAACTTTGTAAAGGAGACTTTGTTTGCAATGTCCTTCAGCAGGACCTCCACTGGGTAATGATCGCTAACCTCCAATGCCTGAAAAGAAACCACAGAGTAAACAGTTTACCAACCAGCACACATCTATGGAAAAGAATTTGGGATTCATTTAGAGTATTTGCATATTTTACTGTTTTAGTTCAGTCTGTTACATTTACATATATACACCAGCACACACACGCAGCCTCCTACCTGTTCCTCTGAGAGTCGGTATGCTGTTTGGAAGTTAAAGGGGTTGGCTGAATTAGGTACGATTGCTCTGGCAAATGTTTCCCCATTCACAACAATCCTGTTGTACCACACAGAATAGACAGACCAACATATTACACATATTGTTACACATATGTAAAGAGACATCGATGTTGAGTTTTTCAGATGTATTTTTTTGGTACTTCGAGCATCACAAACCAAGTGCCATCTAGTTCTATACTGTCTCTTTAACCTTCTATACCATCAGATCACTTCATAAACAAACCTTGAAAATGATGGATATAAAATATATACACATTTTACTTGGGTTTTCTCATTCTTCTCACTCAAAATATGAAGGCAAATGACATATTTTCAATGGAGTTGATGGGATTGGCTTTGCTCACAGAGCTCAGTTAAACTAAGCTAAACTTGAATGAAGGCATGAAGGCTGGCTCGTGGACCTTAAACACATTCAGTCAAGTTCAACTTCTGCGCTAGCCACAGAAAGAGACACAAACCAACTGCCAAAGGGACAATACTCTAGAGCAGTGGTTCCCAACTGGTCCAGCCATGGCCTCCAGATTTTGCATTAGTCATTAGTTCGAGGTTGCGTTGCGTCTGGCCATGTCATCAAGCTAGTTTGCTGTCTCTGTTGCTTGTAAGTTGGAGATCTTAGAAATGTACTTTCTCCAGTGCTACACTTAAATTTATCACCTTTGAAAAAGGCATCTGCTTAATGTTTAGTCTTATTGTCATGGAAGAACATGGTTGACAAACTGGAACTAGAATTAGAGAGAAAGAGCTGCTACAGAAGCTGGTGTACAAGCAATAAGCAAGTGAGGGAAAAATGCAGTTGGTGAGGCTGGAAATGGAAAGGACAGTGGCGTGATTCGTGAAGTACTGTGGGGCATCTAGCCGCTGCCGGTGTGGGTTTGTACATTGTAAATAATAGGGGCGTATTCATTTATGTGCGGCATTCGTTGATGTGTTTTGGCCTTACTCTTCAGTTTCTCCAGCTGCATTTCAATTGGTCAGTGGTTGCTTTGGCTGACAGAAACCACCCAGCATGCATCCCTGGATTCACGGCCTTCCATCTCCAACATATCCTGATTTTAATTGATTACATTTTCTCATTCCAATATGTGAATGTGTTCTTTGACACATTTGATGAGCAAATATTTGTAATTTGTAATAAGATATGTTTTATGTATTTGTACCCATTTCTGGCTGTAGTAAAAAATCCTGGGGCACTCAAGCTTTAGGGACCCTGGCCCACCCAGAGTGATGGGTCTGGTGGGACCAGGCTTTAAAGAGTGTGAGTTCACCTGTCGTAGCTGCAGGAGGTGGATGATCGCACAGTGGTGTCAGTCTTTTCTGGAATGAGCCAATAAAGGTTTTTCTCTGTAATCAGGCGCACATTCTTCCTGTTCTTCTTAGCAAGGTAACCGCAGTCAGCGTTGAAGTCCCCAAGAAGCATCACATTCTGCACAAACACACGTACACAACAACACTGAATGTAAGGCTACAAAATCTCATCAACTCCTACAGTTCCAGTTACCATTAACATTCAGCAAAATGAGCTTTTACCTCAGTTTTCCACATCCTCTTCACATCTTGCAAAACGTCATATAGCGCATCAAGCTCTTTAGTGGTGTTGTCTGGAGTGGTGTGCTGAGGTATGAGGACGAACTCCTTTATAGCTGGATATATAGAGGGGAGTTAGAGGGAGGGAAGGTGCAGGGAAAGGTGTTTAAATGCCTAAACATCATCACATGCTTCGTCATCCTAGAAGGAAACCTGAGTGTCAGAAAACTAACCTGTCTTGCAGGCTTTGAAGCGGACGACAAAAGGCTCTCTGGAGAAAGCATCAGCATCTCCTGGTTTATTATCTGGGTACTGATACTGGCCAGTGACCATCACTGTATCAGTCCTGCACACATTCAGACAAACACAGTGTAACCAAAACATAACTGTTCTGCTTAGGCTGTCTTAACATTTTAATGACTAGTGTACAAGTTCACCTCACCTGTAAACAAACACATACTGCTCCTGGTATGAGGAAGACCTGCCCAGTCTCTCACTGGACACAGTATCATAGGTATGTTCAGTGTCATACCTAAATATTGAAGAGACACACACAGAGAAGTGGATACAACTGCTGATACTGCTGTTACTATATCTTTTTGTGTGAGGACTGGTCATGAATGACAGCTGTGTTGCGCTGTACTGATGTAACCATGCAGTCGCTCATGCTTACTGTGTTTGTGTATGCATGAAGCAAGTGATTAATCACCTGTTAAGGCGGTCAAGCAGCATTGGTACTGCTTTTTCTTTAGCATCTCTCACTTCCTGAAGCAAACACACATCACAGCGAGTGATGATCTGGAACACAGAAATGAAAAGGTGATTGCATTGTGATACAGGAGGGACTGTTGAATTTTAGGTACAAGGATACTAGCTATGTTATTGCTTGTGAATACCACGATATGGAGCCTTGGCCGTATATTAAGAGAGCTGATATGCCACTGCCACTTAGCCTTGCTGCCAATTTGTCAAGGTGGCCACTTGCGGTATTGCAACTAAAAAAATCCCCCAAAGCATTTTAAACATAGTGCATTCTATCTTTTACATTTCGACATATGTTTTAACAATCAGATAGAAATATTCTTTTTGTTTAGTATATAATTTACTAACACTACATATTAAATAGAACCCGTAAATGGACCTGCACTTCGAACCACCAATCATCTGATTATTGGACCACCTGCTCTACCTCTTGAGACACAATATTACACTTCACACACCCAATATTTAGTCTATAGAGGCGTAATGTTTTGTTCACACTGTACGCGAATTAAACAGTTTGCACGAGTGAATTAGATGTAAAGTCAAGGTAAAGAATTAGATGCCAATTCCCATCAAGCGGCGCAATGGAAGTGATGGACAGAACACTAATGATACCAAATACGTGAATTAAGTGGCGTGAATAAAGTGAGTGGTGTCATACGCTTATTTGCGAGGGTTGAAAACTCTTAACTTAGGCAACCAATTTGCGCCACTATAGCCAATCAGCATTGAGATCCTCCAGGGATGTAGGATGCCAAGGATGTACCAGCAAAAGTTCATTCATTAATTAAACAATTTCACATTCATATGATGCAAGTTATTTGCACTTATGAAGCGATACAACACAAAATATTATAGCATTCAAACTTACGCAAGTAATGCAACGAGAAAATTCTTACAGTGTTTGGTGCGAGCACAACATGAGAGAAAATAACTCTACTTCTCACTTAATTTATTACCTCAATAAACAACTTCCTAATGAGTTGATGATCTCATTCATTAGTTTTCAGCATAGACTGTATTATAATAATGGCCGTAGCTACGATGACGTCACCCATTGGTTTGTGGACTGCTGATTTGAAGCCTTGAGTTTGGCATTTAGATCGTCGCCATCTTGATTTTTTGGAGCCAGAAGTGACCATGTTTGGGGAAAAAAGGTAGAGCTGTATAGAGGAGTAAGGGGTGGATCTGACTCATAGAATGTAGCGTTGTTTCACAAACAGTCTGTTACTAAAGCAGCCCCACCCTTAAATATTTGTAACTTTAAGCCTTAATAACATGTAAATGGATGAGTTATATAAAAATTCACCCCAGTATAGCTGTCATGAAGAAGAAAGAAAGAAGAAGAAATTAGCTATAGAGATCAAAGCCTTTTTTTGTACCAAGCTGTAAACTTGTTTATTTTTGCTGTAAAGTTGGGCATTTAAACATGGGGGCTATGGGGATTATCTTGCTTTTGGTGCCTGCCTAAAGTGGTCATTAGTGGAACTACAGTTTTTGGCACTTCTGTGTTGGCTTCATTTTTCAGTTGACGTAGGCATGAATGTTTCCAGGTACCTCTCTGTCAGCTTCACTAAATTCTGCTCTTATGTCCATATTGCAAGTCTTGGTGGTGCATTTTGTGGTTGGCTTTGGACAGTGGTATGGCAGCAAGTCATTCATCGGAATGAGGAAGTCAACTCACCAGTCTGTAAACTCTCCTCCTGTTGACTTTTGCTAGCTAGCTGCTGGCTAGCCAGTTTTCAAATGTCACTAAACATTTGTGAAAAAGATGGAGAGAAATGAGCACCAGCTGACCTAGCATCCTGCTAGCCATTGTACAGACTTTGGAAAGTAAGCTGGACAACCTCCCTGCCACATTCTATATGCCGATCAGACAGAGCAGAGGAAGATGAGATTTATGGTGAGTAAGGACTGGTGTGATGGTGGGAATGTGAGGTGCTGTCTGTTCCTGCTGTGGATCACTGCTGTGCGTTGTTCAGAGGCGGCTGCAGGGCGGAGCTACCCATGTTCTGGAGAAGCTACCATGAAGCTGTCTTGTTGAGGTATGGATGTTTGGACAGTTAAATCATTCCACAACTAGAAAGCATAGATTATGAGAACCATTGGAATAATAAAGCATTAGCCACCAATGTAAAAAGACGCAAAAAAAAAAAAAAAAAAAATCACGGTGCACAAGTAAAAGGAGCTGACGGATCACATATCACTGGAGTTGTACCTTGTATAATTCTATGTGACAAATGATTGATTGATTGATTGATTGACGGTTCTTGTCACTTTCCTCCAGGACATTGGAGTGGTTAGTTTGACTTGCAACAAACCCCATTTTTTAACTATGACTTCATGCCATGTATTTGCTACTGGAGGGGGCTACATTTAGAACTTATTCAGTCCAATGACAATTGCTTGCCTGGGGCATACACCAAAAAACGTTTCTGGCTTTCGGGTTCATGGCAGGAGGTATGCAGAGTCAGGCCCATGCACAGATAGACCCCAGACTGTGCTAAAGCACCTGCCCTTTTGGCACCTTTACATTTGGCACCTAGCAAGTTTTTACATTTGGCCCAATTCTTAATTAAAAGTATAATAAAAATAGTGTTTGCCCCAAGCCTCAGCATTGTTTGAAACACCCCAGAAAAAATAAAAACAAAAAAAAACATCTTTGACACAGGAAAAAGAAAAGGTAGAAACAGAGAAGGAATAATTACATATACAATAGGTATCAGATGTACAATGAATACAGTATAATAGTGAATGCTAAAGACCATGTCTGCATGAACTGATAATTTTGTGGAGAAATGTTGAGTATGAAACATCTGCATGAGTGTATTAGTAACGATATATAAATGTAAGTATATAGGCAAGGTGTGCCCCTTTTTTTCACAGCCAAGGTAGTATTGCTTCTGCCCCCACCTTTAAGTTCCACTGGAAAAAACATGGAAGCAAGACTAAGTATCCAGTTCTCTAAAACATCCATATTCCCTGGCGCCTTGACTTTAAAGTGCTCTAATTAACTGTGAAATGAGGAACACCTGTGAGGAACTGAAACGGCTATGACATTATCTATGAAGTCTGTACTTGATAGATTAGGAGAACTGAAATGGTTGAACTTCAGCACCCACCTATGCTGTACAAAAACTTCCAGTTGATGCTCCTCATGGAGCCTTTTCTCTGTAACCTCATCTTGTGTGTTGCACTGTGAAACGCTCCTTCTTGTACAAGAAAATAAATTCTGTTAAACTTTGATATTTCGGCTCCGGTCTCTGTTGTTTTAAAGGTCATTACGAAGAAATTCTTTAGACAATATCAAAGTGTCTTAACCAAATCGATTTCTCTTTGTCTTACCCTGGCAAGAGAATGCATGACATTGTTCTTCTTGGCCTTGGACTCCCCAAAGTGATGAAGGTTGAAGGCACAGATTCTAAACTCTGAAGCCCCTTGAACATCACACACACACAACAGGAAGGAAAGCAGGAGGAGGGAAGAGGACCTCATGGCACAGATCTGCAAGATACAGTAACCTTGCGTGTGAAGAAAACACACAAGGGCAATCAGATTTGGTTAAACATCCACAAATTGTGTGTACAGATCTACAGATACAGCAGTAAATATAGTGTGGATTGCACAAACTCTACAAATCTGGACAAGCCCAAACGATCCATCAGACAAAAATAACTGTGGATAATACAGGCCTGGCCCTCAGATTCACCAAACATATTTCATACACACTACATGACTCTCACATACACATCTGTAGTTTCCTGACACACATACATACACCAATATAAGTAGCAAATGTGTTGTCACTATTAGTTGTCATAAAGTGTACAATAATAGAAAATAGTATCTGAAAGTACAGGTTTAACCATCACAGACCAGAGTCCACTGTGAGTGATTGTACTTCATGGTTAAGAAGTTGTATTAACTCTCATCGGTTTGAATGAAGTCATTGAAAATAAAAAGGAAGTTACTGTTCTGTAATCATCATCCCATCGGGTTAATGGATAGACAGGCTGACTGCTGTGGCATTGCTGCTTGCAGTTTTCTCAAGAACTGCTCAGACAAACAACTTCATACTCAATACTACACTTCCTTGGGTCCTGAGCAATCCACCTAGGCCCCAAACAACTATAGATTTTTTATGAATGCCTTTCTTTCACCTTCTACTTTAAGTAATTTTGAATACTTCTACTTTTAATAATTAATAGTTTAACTATTAAACAGTTTGAAGTACTTCTTCTACTATTGCAAATAGCCACCAACATTCCCAGTTAATGAAAGGGTGAAAAGTAAAGCAGGATGGCATTTACCTGGGGCCCCTAAATCACTAAATCCACCCCTAAAAAACACACCCATCATGGCTGCTCTCCATCAGAAACATGTGTGAAATACACTAAGCAGATGTATTCATTTCCAATAGGCGTATTAGTTGCTTTGCGATAACCATTACAGGTATTAAGCAGAGCATGGATTAATTAGTGGAGGTATTCTGTCTGTGGTAACGTTATTAGTGTTATAAGTTAGTATGAAGTATAGTAAAACTGGGGTTATGTTGTGCATTATCTGTGCAAACTGTGTCACTGACTCAACATTTCCATTTGAGCTTCCTGTTTTGCTATGATTTCCCCTTAACTTCCCATGATGAGTTAGGCCTGGAGGGCTACAGTAGGGTTTAGCTAATAGCTTTTATTTTGTGTTAAATTTCACATTTTGGGATACACATAAAATGGATAGTTTGGATTCTCTGAAGTGGGGTTGTATGGGGCACTTGTGTATTACATACACTAGATGTCAGCTGGCATGCCCCCAGTTTGAAGAAGCAGACTGGATTCCAACATGGAAACTAAGCAATCCACTGCTGTGAACAGGGTCAGCAGCAAAATGTATTTTGGCCAGCTAAAAAAAAAGTCCCACCCCTAAAAAATCAATATCAGTTTAAATGTATACTATATTGATTGTATTTGAATTTTCACTTGTTTACCTTTCCATCAAACAGCTTGTTTCAAAAGAGAAAGCTGTTAACGGCTTCATTTCCCCATCTATGTTCTTGTCAAAGGCTCCGTTGACAAAACCAATAATTTTAGCTGGCTAAACATGGGAGTTGTTGGTCTACTGCTGTTTCAATCAGTTAGTTAGTTTGTGTTATTGTGTGACTCTGGTGAATCTGGACGGACCCTTCTAAACTCCAAAGTCACACAATAACACAAACAAATTAACTGATCAAGGCAGCAGTAGAACCAGCAGCTCATGTGTATAGCAATGTTAAATCATTGTTTTTCTCAGCAGAGTCTGGCTTTGAGAGAGCAATATAAGGCTTCACTTTCCATTTGGAAATCCCTGTCTGACATTCAGTTAAAACAGTGAAAATATTTTAAATATAGCATACACTTAAACTGATATTAATTTTTTTAGGTGGGACTTTTTTAGGTGCCTAAAATGCGTTTTGTTGCTGACCCCTCCACAGCAGTAACTTGCTAAGCTTCTGGAGTCCGATATGATGTGCCAACTGACTTCTACTGAATGTAATATAGGCTACTGTCTATGGATAAGTACCCCAAACAACCCCACTTTAAAATCTGAACTATCCCTGTAAGTCATAAAAAATGCCTTCTTGTTAATAGGTAGATGAGAAGATCTGCTCATACAGCATTGTGTTTGAGCCAGGAGGTGATTAGCCTAGCTTAGCATGAAGACTGGCAACGGGTAAATAGCTATCCAAAGTTCAAAAATCTGACCAGTACCCGTAAAGCTCAGTCATTAACACATGTATTTTGCTTATTTAACTCATACATAAACAGAAATGTAAAAACGAGTACCCCCATGCTAGCTGTTTAGCACTAAGTTAATAGCTTCCTAGCTTTGCATTTGGCTTAGCCTATAGACCACATGACAGTATTGTCAGTCCTCTCCTGTAACTCTCGGCAAGAAAGTGTATTTCCCAAAATGTCAGACTATTCATATGAACCCAGCAAAAGTCATAGTAACATTAAACATAAAAATACAAACAAATATAACTAACACAAATATGTTGGCCTTTGACCAGTTTGCTAGTTGATACAGGCAGCTGTTCATATCTCCTAAAAATAGCATTCAGAGTCATTTGATTCATGTTAAAGTTTTTCACTTGTGAACACCAAAATTTGCATCATTTATTCTTTCATTTTGAAGAATATAAATTATTAAAAAAAATCTATTTCTAATTATTTTAAACTGTAATAACAATGTTTTATTAATTGAACCCTATCAGCCCAAACATACGTGTTATCAGAAAAGCGCGCTCACTGCTATCATCTGTCTTCTGTTAGCCCACCACACAGACACACAAAAATATACAAGAGGTTGTTTCATTTATATCACACACAGACACACATTAAGCCTTTTGTCTCACCCAGCCATCAACATGAAAATAGAGACCTGTGGCAGGTCAAAGGGCAGAGAAGGCTTAAGATGTTGCTACTCGGGATAAGGGGTCAAACAAACATGACGTCATGGTAAACATGGGGTAATTTATCATGATCAGCAGTGGAGTTTACAGCTGCACCAGAACACTTGAAAGGTTTATTTCACTTTACACAATGTATGTCTATTTACAGGATTTAAATTGTTACCATACTGCCAGCACGGATTGTTCATGTAAAGTGGAGGACTTATGACTGCTACAAACATGTTGAAATGTAAGTTATGTCAGCATAGTATAGACATTTATTTATGAAAGCCTGTTAATAATACTGCTTTATGCTTTATCCCATGCCAAACAATGAACACATTCACAGTGGGGCAAGTTTTGTTTGTAGTATTCTCTCTCTCTATCTCCGTCTTAAACACACACACACACACACACACACACACACGCACTTACATCAACATATAGACACGTCAGGTTACAGGACAGGTCACATTCCCAGTAACATTTTTATCCTTGACACAAAAAAAGGTAAGTCAAACTAGAGCAACAGCGACTTACCCGCTTGTTAGTTCTGGACTTGTTTATTTTTAGATCCCTCCCTCTCTGGTGAAACTCGAAACTGGTCTGGCCATGGTTTCCTGTGGGAGGGATCTCTGGTCTAGGAGAAGTCTTACTGCAGGCTACAGCACACTGGGAAGAGAGTGTCTTCAGTTAATGCATCAAAAGTTCAGCCTTTACCTTACTTGTTTTGACTCTTATTCAAATTTCATATAAACCTTCAATGCTGTACTCAATGAGAGGCAGTCATATACAGATAAGTCCACTGCCATAGATAACACTTGACTACTAGGTGAATCAGGAGTGTAGATTAATGGGGTGGCTTAGGTCAATATATCACAACAATTGTTCATTTTGTGATGAAAGCACAAAATGAACGATAGTTTAGCTATGCCACCCCACTAGATATAAAAAAATATTACAGAAAACAAACAATACACATCAATGTTGACAAATTGTAGTATACAAGAGATATGAGTGTTTAACTGTTTCTCTTAATAAACTACTTATCAAATGTAGCAATTGGTACATTTTGACCAGTAAAATCCCATGGCTTGGTTTCAGTTCTCTTACCCAGCAGTCTCACTTAAGTGTGGAAATAAGTTGCATGTTTCCTCTTTATGAGAAAAAGTGTGACATTGCAACACATCTGGTTGAAAAAGGAAGTGGTGTTATTTTACACCTGGTTTGCACTTCTCTCCGCCTACTGTGCAGCTTTGAAAAATGGGCGGGAAAAAAACAGCAAGAGGAGGTTTAGTTAGAACAGAAACAGGGTGGAGTATCTCTAAATATAGCCTCAAACTAATATGCTTCCTTTTATTGAAGAAAGAACTGACTCAGTGACTCATGATCATGTGACTCATGATCATGTGTCATGTCCATGTCACGAGTTTAGAATTTAACTATTTTCCAATTTACAGCTCCACACCTTATTTTATTTTCTCTATTTTCTCTTGTTTTATTTTCTCTTATTTTCTATTATCTCTACCTCAGTCTTTTATTTACAAAAATGGCATGAGCTCATGCAGCATGTCTAAGCATGTGTGGAGCAGCTGTGTTTGCAAAGAGGAAGAAAGTAACTGAGTACATCAGGTACACTGAGTACACAAGTATTGTACTTAAATATAGTTTTTAGGGTAATAGTACTGTAATTTAGTGTTTCCATTTTATGCGACTTTATACTTATACTCCACTACACCTAAGAGGTAAGTATTATACTTTTTACTCCAGTCAATCAATCAATCAATCAATCAATGTAACCCATATAAGATACAATTCCAGTAAAATGTAATCTCATCAGTTCTGTCACTTTGTGCAGTTAATTAATTATTAATCTATTTGATACTAGAAACTTTACAGATTCAGACTAACTGATTATGATATATTATTACAGGTTAAAATAGTACTGTAGGAAGTCATAAAAATTGAGCTTTCTTTAACAGCTGCAACATTAAAGAGATGAACACATTAATGCATCATCAATTACAATCCAGTATTATTGTGAAATGGGCCACTCTGCATAATGATTAGCCTTGTTTCAAAAGTACATTTTGATGCTAATACTAATATACTTATACATAAGTAAGGTTTGGAATACAGGAATTTTACTTGTAACAGTATTTCTGCACTGTGGTATTACTACTTGTACTTGAGATTGAGATTAAAAAATAAATAAATAAGAATGAAAATACTCTCTTTCTCCATTATTTATAACTGAAAACACTTAGACACTTAAAGTTTGGACACATTCATATATGAATCATTGTTCACTAAATACGGAAATATTTTATGTTTTATATGTTGTCTGGCCTATATATAAAGAAATATGTATTCTGTCTGTTTGCCCAAAAGTCATTGACAGACAAAGAAATGTAGGCTACAGTTTGTTATCAGACATAGTGACAAAACAACAGATACAAAAATATATAGAAAAATAGACTTCAGTAATTACAATGATAACTGCCTGCTGATAAGTCTGTAAGTCTGCACATCTGACTAAAACAGTGTTGTACTTGTCGGTACGCTATCTGAAAAAAATCATTACGCTTTAGGTCATGTTTGTCCCCGTTAGAGCTCTTATGAACAAACTGGTTTAAAACTCCAACAGAAATTTAAAGTCCATATTTAGGATTTGGGAGAGGTGAGGCTGTGTAAAAAGCTGTGTCAACACCAATCACAGACAGAGAGGATAAGAAAAGCTGTTGTATTTAACCAGGTTGGATAAAGAATAACAACACTATGTTATCCACAGAATGATTCAATTATTTTCAGGTGTAGAGCCCCCCTCACCATTATCTAGCTCAAGCTTGAAAATCAGTCAATGACAGCAAAGTATGTTCTGGACTAGTATGGGCTGCACTTGAGTCTGAGCATTTTAGAATTCACAGGGGTTTGATTTTCTCTGTCTGTTGTACAGTATGACATATTCATCCACTCAGCTGAATTTACTGCCACATGGTCAGTTGTTCTCTTCACCACCTTAACTTCCAACTGTGGAAGACAAAATGAACAACTTGTTTTTTAATTATGAGGGTTTTGAGACCCATCAGTAAATATGCAGTATACAAAATGTTCATAATTCTCATGTAGGAGTGTTCATATAAGCTTGCAAAATGATTGCATTTCTGCTTAAATGTACACAGTCCAATATGGAAAAATGTGTTATTAGTTGTAATCATTAGTAATCATGGTGGAACAGCTGGCATTTGAGTAATTTCCCAATATCTGATTTCTAATTCCTTTTATCAGAAATAACAGCAGAAAAACTCCTTTTTGATTTTGTCTTTCCATTTTTGACATTCTGATTATTTTTATTACCTCCGCCAAGGAGGTTATGTTTTCGCCAACGTTGGTCTGTTTGTTTGTTTGTTTGTCTGTTTGTTTGTCTGCAAAATAACTCAAAATTTATTAACGGATTTGACTGATGAAATGAAATTTTCAGAAAAGGTGGATAATGGGACAAGGAACAGATGATAAAATTTTGGTGCTGATCGGTTGAAGCAAAGTGGATAAAATAATAAATAAAGTCTATCGTCTGACAGCCTCAGCAGCAATTCCAATTTCTAAAGACGGTGAAAATAGCGCCATCTGGTGGCCGGAAAGAACGTCTTGTTCTACTTGCTAAATGTTGTAATTCTAAAGTTGAAATTAATGTTAGTGTTGGAAAAAAAGAAAGTGGAAAATACAAAAAAACATATTATAATCTGTGTAGATACAAAATAAACACAAAATAAATACACCACAGTGTCTTGATGGTGAATATAACCTAATAATGATAGTGATGCAAATAACCTAATTGTGATGCAGGCTGCAAAATCTGATGCAGAGGGGGAGGGAATATCACCTACTTGGCAGAGGTCTGCACTCTCTGAGTGCTTTTCTAGTATTTTTTTAATTAAACATCCGTGAGAAAAGAAGAAAACTAATTACAGTGGGGGAGAGATTTCCCTGTTCGACTAACTTCTCTGAAATCTGGTAAAATGGGCCAAAAAGTTAAGCTAAAATGGGACATTTCCCGAAGCAAAACCAGCAGGTTTTTAGGCTGCCAGGTGCCCTAAAATCATGAGTTATTGTGCTATCGTGTGGCATCCTATCACATCATGTTTTTGTTTCTTAAAAAATATTAAAGATAATGCTGTGAGTCCATGTCACCCACAATAGTCTTATTAGTCATAAATGTTACACACACAGGTCCACTGTAGACAATATGGCACCAAGAAAACAGGTAGCCAAAGAACAGAGAAAGCATGGCAGAGAAGTTGAACCAATCGTTTTTCATGAAAAGCCACGGGTTATAATAGTGATTTGATGAATTAATGACTGAACTGATAAATGGATTTATAGGGGGGTTTCTCTTTTCTCGTTTTTTATATACCTATATAGGCTATGCTTAAGTATGCAAGCCGTGATACACACTCCGGTGCAGTAGGTGGCGGCATGAATCTATACACGTTGCTTTGTGATCCGCAATTAAATCAGAGAAAAAGAATGACATACGTCATCTCCGGGATGCGATACAATCGGTAGCGCCCATAGGGTGAGTGCTATACATTTTGACGCTGTGATATAAAGCAATTGTTGCTACATATTAAAGAGAGAAATCAGAAAACGGGTATTTCTCGGCTTGTGTGAGCGTTATGTGAATGAGGTGTTGACGTAAGTCTACCGTACGTCTCTTACGCCATAAAATGAAGAAAAGGAGCTCTGAGAAAAAACGCCATGTGGTGGCATGGGCCAACAAAGCTGAGTGGGATCAAGTTCTGGAGTATCTTTACTCTAAGGATTCCTCCTTACAGAGGTATGCACTGCAGAGGGTATCAGCCTGGAAAGGCCGGTATGCTAACAGCACTCCTGTGGCGGTGGACTGCACAGCTGACCTGGTGAGGTGCCAGGTGCTCGACAGGTCGGGACAGCTGGACGGAGACGACCTGGTGCTACTTTACGGAGCGGCTCTGGTTAGGTTTGTCAATTTGATCACCGAGCGACAGCAAGGGAGAGTTGCCCGTCCACTGAGGCGGCTGGCTGGGAACCTGAACATACCGGAGTGGGTCGTAGATCTGAGGCATGATTTCACACACAGGAAGCTTCCTACCATAAAATGGTGTCGAAAGGGATGTAAGGTGGTTCTGGAGTGGCTCCAGCAGGAATACTGGTCCAGGCAATTGGGAGGAGGGCCTAATGAGGACTGGGAATCAGAGTCAGATGGAGAGGATGAAGAAACTGACCTAAAACGCCAAGGGGATGAGCTCATCGCCAGGCAAAAAGAAATGGAAGCCTACAAGAATGCACGGGAGCTTCTGATTTCTTTTGAAAAGGAGCAGTACCAGGCTTTTGATGGGCTTCCTGGAGACAAAGAAAAGAACCTGTGGCCAGCCCCCTTTGCAGACATGAGCTGGTTACTTGGTGAGATCAAGCAGTTTGCTTTGCAGTCAGGTAATCTACTGATTGATGTGTTGTTGGAAGACGGATTTCTAGTTCCTACTGTTGAGCAACTGGAAACATTAGGCTGCGACACTTCTGACAGTGGCAGTCCCACTGAACCCAGACTCGCTCAAACCTTCCTGCGTTTTTGGCTGCCTCTTCTGAAGATGCTCAACTCACCCTCCTTTATTCACCTCCTTCTGGAGAAGCTGTTTGTTGAACTGAAGCTGCTCGCCACAGAGCAGAACAATCACAGGGCTTTCTACATTTCTGCTTGGATTTCAGAAATCATCATCTGCAACAGCAACAAATTTGAATACCATTTTGAAACAAAGGGACAGAAGAAGGCCAGAATGAAGGACAGGATCTTTGTGAACCGCATCCAGCTGAGGTGGCAGCAGCTGCTCTCTGCATGCCTGGATGCTCCCTGTATCAGCACGCCTCACTTGCTCCAGTTAATCCTGGACGACATGGAGCACCCTCTCCCTCTAGAAACCCGAGAGAGGCTGCTCCAGCTCTGCTCCATCTACACACAGATCAAACACTCTGAATATGATACTTCTCCGGAGCAGAAACAACAGCCCATATACACACTGGAGAGTTTGCATGAGAAGCTGCAGCATTCACGGCGGCACGGCCATCCTTGGCGCTCCACAGCTGATGCAGAGAGGAGCGAGTCCTCCCAGGAGTACAAATGGGCAGATGTTCAGGCTGAAAAAGCAAAGTTGCTCAGAGGTTCACCATGGCAGGTGTGCACTGATAAGGTTTTATGGAAGAACTATCCTCTTGGTAAAGTCCCTGGTCAGTCAGATGACCCTTCATGCCTCATGCTGGAAAACTACTCACCAATGACTGTGTTTGACCAGCCGGTGGAGTTGGAGAGCAACACAGCACACAATGTCCCAGGAGTGTTGGCACCAGTGAGAACAGCTGATGGCCTTCTATGGAACCACAGTGATGTCAATAAGCTGAAATCTGGACTGCAGCTTTTTTGATTCATGTTGCGACGTGAAGTACTGTCCTTTAGCATTGTTGAACCTATGGTCTTGTTGGTTTTGACACTTGAAAAAAAGAAACGTTCAAAATATGTGAACTTCAATTTTGTTGTGGTATAAAACAAATATGTAAACAGTTGATCAGTTAATTAGTCAGTCAACATAAAAGTCATTTATCTGAGTCATTTATCAGGCAAGAATACCAAACATTCACCGGTTCCAGCTTCCTAAATGTGAGGATTTACTGATTTTCTCGGTTTCATATCTTTCAGGAAAGCAGCTAATGATTCATCTTTACAGCACATTATTTTCTTTACTAACTAAATGTCAGAAAGTTGTGTCCATTATAATTTCTCAGAGCCTAAGGTGACCTCTTCGAGTGATTTGTTTCATCCTGCCAGCAGTGCTAAACTTTTTTTTCACAAGTTTAACATTTTATAGGAAAGAAAAAAATCATAAATAATGATAATATTTAAAAAAAATCAGCAGATACATTGATATGGAAGACAACTGTTAGTTGCAGCCCTAATGTACGGCATTTGTATAGCCCTTCCTGTTGTATGCTGTGTGTGTAATATTTTCAATACGTGACCAAGACAAAAGTGGAACTAGTGCAGACATTTAACTCATCATATACTGTTGCATAAGTAAAGAATGTGAGAATGTGGATATAGTTGATTTATTATGATGGTTTACAGTGAGTTTTTCTTTTCTTTCACCTGTCATGCAAGTGAACATGCATTGTTAATACAGTTGTCACTCCCTACAAAGTGTTTTGGAGTAAATGTATTTCAGTTGAAAATGCTGCAGAGGGGATTTGTTATAGGCACCGGGTGGTTTTGTGTAATACATTTTCTTATGTGCACCTATGTTCAATAAAACATTTTCCTACTGAATCTATATGATTGTGTTTGTTTTGGGTGTAAATTTTATGGAGCTGAATTGCAGCATATTGGTTTGGGAAGCATGTCTAATATGGAGAATGGTGAATTGGCATGAGCTGAGACTGTCTGCAAGGGCATTCATACCATAGAAATAAAATGAGATTTTAATTCTTATATTTATTTCTATGGTTCAGACTCAATGCAGCGCTGGGTTAAAAAAAACCCATGTGTCTTCTTACATACCCCATAAAGAAACCAGTTATGTTTGTTCTGGTACTGCCTCCTTTGCTAATTTTAGTAGGAGTGTATAATGGATTTAAAGAGTTCACGTGAATGGTGAAAGAGAGCACACCAAAGTATGATAACCTTTCTACTTATGTCACTGTTAAGGGAGGCACAGCAAAGCATAAGGAAAAATAAGTTGAATGACAAAAAATAATGCATAAAGTACAATCTAACAGGATACATTTGTAGCATATGTACACAGTGACCTGAGAAAAAACAAACACCTGTGTAAAGGGTAATACATCCACCACAACAGTCATGTTACAAATACTACTTTTAAGAAGCTTATAATTTGTATTTTCTTTTGAGACTGTCAGAGGGGAGAACATACAAGAACATGCAACATCTTGTAGAAGATGTTCCATCTATAAAAATACAGAGCAAAATAATACTTAACCTTGATGACGGTGAGGAATAAAAAATAAAAAAAAAAGTAGGGGGGAGATTTACATACAGTTTGACCGGAAGTGTCTTCACAGCTTGTGCTGTCACTATAGACTTGGGAAAACTGGATGTAATGTGGAATTTATGTGGGTACCAGGCCACTCAAGTATAGAAGGAAATGAAAGAGCCGACCAAAAGATACTGTTGACCTGAATGTGTTTCTCGGGAAGCCTGAGTGCTTTCAAGTTGGCAAAGAAAAATTAGAGGAACAATGGCAAAAAGAATGGAGAGAAGACCAACATGGGAGACATTACTTTTCCCTGCAGCCATCTGTTAAAAGAAGGAGGCTACAGATTAAAACTGGAAGAAAGGATGATGTGGTCTTAACTCGTTTAAAACTGGGGCATTGTGGTCAGGCCAGCAACCTCAAAACAATAGGCAAGAACCTAAATGCCAGAACCTCTGCCAGTGTGGGAAGTTGGAGACACCGCAGCATGTAATGTTTGAGTGCAATAAATATTGGGGTGAAAGACAGCAGATGTTTAGGGAGTTATCTAAGTTGGGTTTTTCTTCCTTTTCTTTCAAATCTATATTCTCTTCTGATGCGGACTTCCATCTAATTGGAAAAGCAATAATTCTTTTTCTCCGGTCAGCTGGACTATATCAGAAAATCTAAACTGAATAGATCAATCTGACCTATGGAGGGCAGCATTACACAATTTAGTGTACATCCTGCCGGAAATCCATTAGAAGAAGAAGAAGAAGTGTCTTCACAGGTCGACGCTGGGTTAACGTCGCTGGTGTTGTCTGCAGTCGCGCCACGGACCTTTTCATATTCAGGCTGAGTATTCTGCCAACAGTCAGTAACCAGCACTGTGTCATCGGATGACTCTGTTCCAGTAGTTTATTGTGCATTTATTTTTCAAACAGGACGGTAAGTTGTTGGTTGAAGAAGTGTTGTAAAAAGATGCTGCGTCATTCATGGGTTAGCGCCTCATGGCCTAAGTCGATGTTAGCTGAGTTAGCTTTAGCTTTACCAAAAAAAAAAAAAAAAACCGAGCGGACACAAGCTAACGTTATTTCAATACCTTTTGCTATCTTTAACCAGTTACATAATATTGGCAGTGACACTTAAGTAAGTTAGATGTTGACTTCAGTTAGCTTAGACACATTAAACCAACGGTAGCTGGGTGCTAAAGCAAGTGCGCTGCTAGGACAATTGAGGCCTAGTGAGCAAGCAAATGTAAAGATACTTAACGTTATGAGTATTAGTTGCCATTTTTGTCGATTACACTAACAGACTGAATATTGTTACGGTGGGGAATATGTATAGTGAATTGTAACGACATGTCTGTATTTATTGTTGGGTATCGTATTGTGCTCGTAGAGGCTATTAGGCCTGGCTTCGGCAACAGGTAGGTTACGTTGGTAATACGTTTAGTAGACACACCGGCTTTTTCTGAGACAGGAAATGGAGGATGTCTGGAGCGAACACAGCAGGAATGGCAAGGTCTAAAACATTTATTTAGCAACCTAACTGGTTAGATTTTTGCACGGTATTGCACGTGTAGTTCATTCAACATTTTACACTGACAGTGCCTGTCTAACTTTAATAGCTCACTAAATTTAACAATAAAGGACGGCAGAGGAAATAGCTGCACACCAATGTAACTGGGCTAGAAAACCAGATAAAGGTCCCGAGGCACGGATCGATGCAGAAATAGTCTATTTGTTTAGAACATCTGTACACAAAAAGGTGCTCAGAGTGCAAAATACTGAGTCAGTAAAACAACAGCAGTCAGTGTTTTTTTACTAACTTTATCAGTTTTTCACTTTGAGCATTTTTGTTATAAATAAATTTACTTTTGCATTGATGTGGACCCTTCTAGCCCAGGTGCATTGGTGTGCAGGTATCTCCTCTGCCGTCCTTTATTGTTTGTCTAGACAAACTTTTTTTTGTTGCCCCAAATAGGCACAGTTTCACAGCACCCCTGAGACTTTACTAAATTTAACCCCCACAATTAAAAAGAGCCGGCTTCATTGCTTAAATGTTAATTACATCATAACCAATAAGTTCATCTGTTATTGAGTATAATATACTCATCACCAGGATAGTAAGGTGGATTCTAAAATCTACCAGCCACTTAATAGATTGTCATTGTTCTTTTGGCTGGCGAGTAAAGCCAACTTAGCAGCCACTTGCATATTTTACCAGCATGTGGCTGGTGCTATTTTCCGACTCATTCATCACAGTTACAATTCTGTCCACACTGCTCTGTCTGTTTGTTTCAAGGATTCAAGGAAATTGTCATTACCGTAACATGTTGGTACATGAAGGCAACGAAAATTGTACTCAGGTCCCGGTGAGGGAAACAAAGATAAAAGAAACAGTAAAATACTAGAGTAGAGGGAAAAAAACTAAGGCACTAAAAATAACATTGCAATAGATATCAATAAATAGCAACATAAATAAGTGTGTAGAGGTAGTGTGAGGATGTAGCGCCATAATTGCACATGCCCATTAAGTGCATAGTTTAAAGTCTATAGTAAAATGTACAGCTTCTTGCTTAATCTGTTATAATTTTGAGAAAAGTACTGAAATATTTAGTAAACAGTATTTACTGGCTAAACTGACTTTTTTGAAATTTGTTTGAGAATTTTAACTTTCCTCAATCAGTTAGTTAATTCCTGCAAGATTACGCTCTTAATACTATATTTTTGTTGTCTTCTCAGGTGAGGAATCACAAGATATCCCCCGGACAGCTTCCTTGTGGTCCCACTGTCAAATCACAATGATCACCAGAAGAAGAGGACTTGCTCTGAACAACACAGAGGCACAGTCTTTTGAGGTTGAAATGAAAACTGTGGAAGATCTCCCAAGTCCATCTAAGGGGTTCCCAGCTTACGATATCGACACCGCTGGAATAGAGCTAGACGACCTATTTGAAATTGAAGATTTAAAGTGGACACTTGAAAGAGATACTGGCTCCCCACTCTTCGATATTGAGTTGGCTGATTTCGGTGTGCACAGTGTCAAAGACCAAGATTCCGAGGTTGAAGCTTCAGTGGCCTCCTCTCCAGAGAGAACATCATCTGACTTGAAGATTAAGAACAGGCAAAACCAGTCAAGCCGCTTGATCAACAAAAATGCCATCGCTGCCAGGTTGAATCGTCTCAAGAAGAAAGAATATGTCAACAGCTTGGAGAGGAAAGTTGGCGTCCTGTCAACAGAAAATGATGGACTCAGACAGGAAAATTCTCAGCTGATCAAGAGAGTGGAAGAATTGGAAGATGAGACCAGGTACTTGAGGGCTGTGCTGGCCAATGAGAGCATGTTAGCCCAGCTCTTGTCCAGGCTGAGCGGTGTGAATGGGATGAAATTATCTTCCTCGCTTTTCCAGGGGCCCGACCCAAATGACCACGACTATGCCTTACCCAGGAAGCGTGTGAAAGTGGAGGAGAAAGAGACATCTGGTGGCGTGTGTCTGCACGTGGACAAGAACCATGTCTCAGTGGAGTTCTGCACTAAGTGTGCAGAGAGTGCAAGCACATCACTCAAAATGTAGGGTCAAGTACTTATCTCTGTTTTCAGATATTGAGACTGAACTTGATATGGCTCTGTACTGAACTTCTTGAGGGTGGATGAACACTGTTGAAGTAGTTAAGATTACCTAAGAACTGCTGAATGTGCATGTGTTTTTGTGTAATGATGGATTAAGTACACGTTACTGCTAAACCTTGTTGACAGTTTCTTCTAGGTTATGGTTGATCCACCATCCGGGATGAGTGGCTTTCTGAACACCTTTACCTGCTTGACTCCATGGTAAGGATCAGACAAGAAAAATACTACATTGTCGTTTTTCACAGGCTACAGATGTTCAGCAGCGACCCTAGTACTACTGTTTTAATACACTTCCTGTTCCCAGATAGTGGACTTTGAGTACTTTTATCATTTCTTTTGTTTACGGTTTGTTAAAGGAAAATATTCAATTGTAGTACATCTAATTGAGAGTTAAAACAAATTATCCTAAATGCTAAGATGTTAAGATAAAGGTGAAGCTCCACAAAGAGTGATCTTGAATCAGCTGACAAATTGGAAATGCCAAAAAAGATAAGACTGTACATACTTTATTTTGACACGAATTGATCTCTTTGTGAACCAGCACCATTGTACAAAAGAATGCTTTTATTTAGCGCCACCTATTTTTCTTTATGCTAAAGTGGATTCTGCTGGTGGAAGGTGAAGAGGCTGGACAAGCTGCTGCCAACGTGGCCTGGTATTTTTTTAAAGGTAGTATCGGTAACCAACGGTATACGTTGTTATATTTTACCAATACTTCACACCTGTAGCTCTTGTCATCGTAGCTCATGCAGCAGTTTTGGGGGGCTTGACTACAGCTGCTCCATTACCCGGAGCGACGCTATCAGAGGCTTAACAGTCTCATAATTATGTCTTGTATTTAGTGACATAATGGAATGTATTGATTACTAAATACATCCAGAATTATCTGATTAAGTGATGAAGTTGCCATTATGTTTAACTATATGTAAATGTGTATATAAGTTTGAATACATAATGTTTGGGGCAAATGACCTTGATGTTGGACAAATAAATCATATTTTCATTATGTTTGAGTTACAGATATCTACTCTGTGTCTTGTTCTGTACTGTTGATATTAATGCATCTCTTTTTCTCTTTCTGAACAGCAAGCTCTCTGCCGATAATGGTCTTACTTTCCCTGAACATTTGGGTCAAGTCTGGTAAAGGTTGTCTAAACAAATGAACAAGACCTCATTTGATGGAATACAGAGCGTGCAGCATGAGGGGGCCCACAGGGATCAGTCATCCTGCCCTCTGTTTTAGCTCATTCACTTAAAACTCTAGATGCTTACAGTCCTTTTTCAAAGCTTAGGTTTTCATTTTATGATTACAGTTATTATCAGGTGGGAGTCCATAGTAGGATAGGCCTGCATTTTTTGAAATAGGCTTATGTGCTTTATTGCTTATCGTTGGGTTTAATCAACACGACTCTCATCTCTGTGTGTTAAACATGAAGCTACAGCTGGTCAGTAGGGGTGGGAATCGCCAGAGGCTCCACAATACGATACCAAGATACTAATGTCACAATACAATATTATCGCGATTTCAAGTGTTAAGCAATATGCTGAGTATTGCAATAACATATTGTGATTTATTACTTTTTTATTACTTTACTGTAAATATCTCCTAAAGGAAACTCTTAGCTAGCTCTTGTGTATGGATACAATATTGCCATACAAAATACCATGATTTTATCCAAAGTGAAGGTTTTGGGGTTTTTTCTCTTTTTTTTTTTTTGTTAGGGTGATGACTGAGTAAAATGACAAACGTTTGAAGCTCCGTTCGAAAACCTCAATAGAAGTTGGAATGTTGAAATAAAAACACATTTGGTACAGCCCTACAAGTTAGTGGAGTTAAGCATGGCGACTGGAAAAGAGAATCAGTCTACCAACACCCTGTAGAGTTCACTAACACATATATTGTATTTGTTTAATCCATTCAGACACACAGGTGTAAACAACAGTTTGTAGGGTGCAGTGACTTATTCTTGTCACCATGATGTGTCAGGCAACCACAATGTCAGAAGTTACTACCCTCAGACAAAATATAATAATAGTCCCTCAACTTTTAAGCCCAGTTGAGACCAAAGATTTGTGATGAGACAAAACAGCTTTACAAAGTTGCGGAGAAAAGCTGAAGCAACATGAACTGGCTGATATTTGCTCGACTCTAGCTGGCTGATGGTGCCACCAGCAACTCAGTTGGTCAAATCACCTTCAGCTGGTTTTAGAACATAGTGCACATCACCTGTTTGAACAGCCTATCAGCTTCTATAAAAGTCTGCTGGTCAAGTCAAAATGACCACACGCTGCAGCAGGTGCCCTGTCCCAGCCGAGCCATCTGTCTACATCCACACTGTGCTGTGATGGATGGTGGGTCGCTGCTGCTGCTCAGTGGCAAAGCCAGGCTGGCTGTGTCTAATCTTTATGCTAAGCTAAAAACCGACTGTAGCTTCATATTTATCATATAGTTATGAAAGTAGTATCAGTCTTCTCACCTTAGAAGTAAAATCCATTTGCGATGGCAGGCTCAACAGCAAAGGCTGATCTGTGAGGTTCAGCTGGAAAAGCATTTGACACAGTGTTAAAGGACCATCCTGTGAGAGGCTTTCCTTCTGCTCTCCAGGTTAGCATGAGCTAACAGCACAATATGATATCATTACCACTCACCATGTTTTGCTGTTTGAGCAGAGGCCCAGCAATAGTGGTTAACATCCAACCCCAAGCTGTTAATCTCAATGACAGCACAACGACTCAACCGTTGTTAAACCTGCAACTAACTGTTGAGAAATATTAGATGTATGACACTAACAGTAAGCCTTTTCACTGTGTATCTGTGACTCTAGGCACAGAACTCCAGTCCTGCAGCAGTAGTGTCATAAACAGAAAGGGCGGCTAAGTGAAACAATACACTGCACAAAACTCTACAATGAAATGAGATTTACCCCCTACTAAATAGACCAGTTTGCACTGAGGTTTGGCTGAATTTGAGTTAATTGTTGTGACCACAACATTGTGAAAACCTGAAGGGACTGATCAACCATTGATGGTGGAGTAAGCAATTCCAGGGAAATATTATTTGAATTCATCACCCAAACAAATACACCCCCTGCACTGTTTAGCGTCCCTCTCACGCCCACTGTCTTTCTCTTTATACAACCATGGCCTTTGCCCTGTCATGCACACGAGCACTACAATAGTGTTGTGCGGCTCGGTCCAAGGCACTTAGGTTGTTTTTTTGTTTTGTTTTTTGCATTTACAGAGCAAGGGCTGTGTGTGGACACCAGGTATTCTTTTCTTTCTCTGCAGTCAGAGCTCAACAATGTGAGATTTTCACTGAATTTGGATAAAAAGTGCATTAGTGACTGCCATGAAGCTTAAAGTGGCTCTTAAAGCTGTGTTAAACAAAAATGATCATTTTACTGACATATATTCATTTAATCTTTGAAAGTTTGTAAAAATGTCAAGATATTGAATATTTAAAGTAAATCTGGCAACACCTTACTTTGAGTCTCCCTATTTAGCATTCATAAGCAGCATCTAAATATTATATTAGTTTATGGGATCACATTGTGGTGTAATGTAGTTGCATGCATGACAATTTTAAGTTTGTTAATGAACAGCATTTGTCAGGAACTATAATTTCTTTAATGCATTTAATTCATATGAAAACTTGCTATGTTGTCATTCATTATCTGTCTATACAGCAGCCCTCACTCATGGGTGCCCTCAGGAGGCGTTGTATTTGTGACGAATGCGTTTATAACATAAACTCCATATTCTAAACCACTTACAAGTCTAAACTGCTTACAAATGCTGAACAGGGTAAGTGTTGCAGTAATAGCGCAGTTAGGTGGCTGACTCGTTTCTCTGAAATTCCCTTGAACACCACAACACCCATGACATTTTCAAAGCAGTATGCTTGGGCAAACTGACAGCCAGACTCTCTGTGTTTAAGTAAAGGGGTTAAAACCTGCTCAAACAACCATGTGATCCTTACAAAATCTCAGCAATTAGACAACATTCCATTGAGTCACTCAAACCCACTTGAGAACTTAAAAACGATGATGACATGTCATCAGCTACCGAATGTTTATGCTTGAGACTGTAAAGTTTATCGGCAGTGAAACTGGAGTAGCTATCGTGTTGATGTCAGCCAGCATGGAAACCAACTAAGATTTGTGTTTTCATCTCACAAATGCTGTGTCACAGCATTTATCCTGCATAAATCCTAGCATTAGTCCTGAACACAGACTGACCTATTGTTCTAGGATGTCACACATGAGTGCCGGCCTCCAGCAGTCAGGTTAGCAGATCATGTGCACACGGTCAAGGTCATTGGTACAGCATGAGGTTGGTTAAGTCAAATGGGAATCAAGTTCACAAGTTATGTAAGGGACTAAATATAAATTTTGCAAACTGGTTCTTAGATGACAGCCTCTGAATGTTTGTCGACTAGGACTATTTTGTAGATTGTTTTGCAACTACACATTAACTGCTAGTTATCTGCATTGTTCTGAAAAGTTGTGCTGGTTGCCAGACCTCAACAGATGACAGCACTCACCAGTTGTAGCAGTGTTGAAAAAGACAAAGACAATGGACTGAATTTTAGCAGTGTCTTTGGCACGTGAAAATAAGAGTTTCAGTGTTCATTTCAAGCTGTAGGAGTTGGCTTACCATGACCCATTTCTAATTTTAAAGCAGTACTGCACAGTTGATGAGGTTGAGGATATTTGACTTGACTCATTATTTCCAAGTGCTTAAAGTTTTGGGACCACCTTGCACAGAAACACTGAGGACGTATTACTTGAGTAGCAAACCGTTGACAGATTGTAGTTACATAATATATGTGGACATAAAAACATAACCCTCATTCACAGTTTTTGGTGCCAAAAACTAAAGGCACATCTGATAAATGTGTATATGGTATTTAAGAGTCACTTGATAGATGATGCTAAGATTAAACACATTTTATTGCAGATATTTTGTCAGATACAGTCAAGTAAACAATTAGCTGCATTCTGTCAGCGTTACAGTTTCTATTCTGCTGCTGTGACATTTTTCTATGTGCCGCTGTCACGCTGTTACTGTGGTTACAGCTTGCCTTTTATATCGAGATTACACACGTGGTACCTTGTGAATGAGCGTCAAAGAGTTTCCTACAGACGTAGACAGGTAGATTGAACACAAACGCGCATGCACATTACGCAATATTTTCAGTAGTTATAATTTATAAAAAGTCCAGTCTTACAGTTGGCGTATGGTAAGTCTCCATCTCCATGCGCTCTTCTAGAACTGTAACCGCTCCTGTTAACTGAGCTGTTTGCACAATCCAGCGATCGTGGTTTGGTTGGAGTTATCATGGAGAAAGGTGATGGCATCAACCATTGATGGCTGCAGCGCCATCTTCACTTGTCCGCTGGTTCTTCAGCAACACTAAAGTTCCACTCACTGCTGTTGGAAATGCCTCAGTATCTGAGCCAGTACACCGAGCTCCAGGTAACATCAGGAGAGGACACATATTGTGTGATAACATCCATTACCAGCTAGCTAACTGAAATTAATATTTACCACTTGAAATAGCCTGTGTTGCGTTCAAGTGTTGCGATCCCCAAGCACCTTGCCTTTGTGCCCCCAATGTCTGAGTAAAGATTTCGGTCTTGACCATAAGCCTCACATAAACTGGTAATAATAGAGAATGTGCGCACTTGAAGGTTAAAGGCAGAGGTAACCTTTTCGTATAACATTGTTTAAGTTATTTGCCAATTTCAGTGATTGTATTATTGTTCCTTTATGCACAGCGTTCTGTAAAATATCAAAGGTATACTTATAAACGTAATTGTAAAGGATCTGAGTGCTCACATAAGGCACATTTTTAATTTGTGTCTAATAAAATGATAAAAAATAATAATAATAATAAAAATCGGAGGCAGCATGGGCATACTGTACACAATTCTCAGAGGGAGTGAGGTGTTGGGGTTTATAACAGGCCCAGCAGCTCATTTTTGCTCCAGGGTGTCCCAGCAGGTTCATCTAATCATGCTTACACCCAGCTGTATACTGTATTTTCGGGCTTTCTAGTAGAGGGGAGGCGTGACTCATGACTGAGTGGCTTCACTGCAGTAGGAGAAGCAGGCACTGCAGTGCCAACATTGGAAATGTCTTATGTTTCTATAAACCTTTTGGTATTTTCCGACCTCCACTGCAGTCAGATGTGAAATCTTTTGCAATATTTTGGATTTCCACTCAGTTTTTTCTGCTTAGGTTGAAAAAAAAAGCACAAAAGCTGTTGCAATGCATCGAAGGAAAGGTCATGTTGGCCCTGGGTGTTTGTGACCTATGCGCTATGACAAAAAGCTTGAGGAAGATAAATATCTTGTAAATTGCTGCATATCAGTAAAATAGCTTTCTTTGAAATTACATTTGCCCATAGTTTGGCTTTACAGATAAGGTAAGTTATGGTGGAAGTTTGTCAGGAGCGATGGGAAATCCTTTTGGTTCAAAGAATAATGGAAATTCATATATTTTAAGCACCATACATGAAGAACACCTTATACTGTATTCATATTTATGTTGTTTTTTTTTTTTTTTTTACAGAAATTGTACTGTTTTCCTCAGCTATACTATAAAGCAGTGCTTAACAATTCTCTGCACTGTGTAAAAGTGAATATTTGTGTCACCTTGCCTGAGAACTTTTTACTGTTGTTTGCTTAGATTTACCCCTGATATTCTTTAGTGCAAGATAATCAACTTACACTGTTAAAAAAAAAAAAACTAATCCAGTCAAAGCTGCATCTCGGAACATTTTATTTTTGTTGAACTGTTTCAGAAGATAAAATATGTTTTCAAAGGAAATGTTCTGTCATTTATAATTCTCTGTGCTGTTAAGACTCTTAAGTGAGACGTGTTTCCAGTAGAACTGGAAATGATCAAATTCGCCAAGTAATGGCCCCATAAATTCACAATGCATTTGTGACCATTGAATTGCTTGTACAGTATAATAGAATTTTGTCCTGCTGTGTGGCGATCCCTCCCTTTCATAGGGGAAAAAAAATAAAAAAAATAGTCTGACATCACAGACAGTCCAAGGAGATAAAGCATGTCACATTTTCTGCATTCATGTCAGTTTCTTATGCTCCCATATTGTTCTTATTTTATAACCGTTTCCTGTGGACTTTAGACCTTACTAATCAAATTGTAAATACTCTGTAAAAACAACCGAGAAAAGAATTTATAAGGCATGAGTGACTTGGGATTGTAAAACCAGCAATACATTTCACTGCAGAGGATAAACTGAGGTGGTGTTCGTACCTCTGATGCCACCTTCAGGTTACAGTGGTTACAATGGTTTGTTTTGTTTTGCTCCATTCCTCATCTTTCCAATATTTTTCTGCAGAATGATCATTTCATTCTCACAGTATCACAATAGACTTCTAGTCTAATTGTGTGTGTGTGTTCGTATTACAAAAACAAAGTAATGCTCAATTATTAATGAAATAATTAACCCTTTAATGTCCATATTAGGAAAAAAAGCAATGGGGAATTATTTTCTTTGCCTTTTTTATTTACCTGGGGCAATAATAACTAAAATCTTTATTTATTTATTTATTTAATGCTCAATTATTAATGAAATAATTAACCCTTTAATGTCCATATTAGGAAAAAAAGCAATGGGGAATTATTTTCTTTGCCTTTTTTATTTACCTGGGGCAATAATAACTAAAATCTTTATTTATTTATTTATTTATTTTAAACTTACCCCATAGGTTTTATGCCTCCACGTCAGCGATAGTCGTGGCCGGAGGATTTATGTTTTTGGGTTGTCCATTCGTCTATAGATTTGTATGTATGTCTGTCCCAGTCTTCTGATTGTGATATCTTAAGAATGCCTTGAGGGATTTTTTTCAAATTTGCTCCAACTGTCCAATTGGTTTTATCAATGATCTGAATAGATTTGGTGGTCATAGTTCAAAGGTCAAGGTCAGTGTGACCTCACAAAACATGTTTTGGGCCATTTCTCAAAAATTCATTCACTCATTAGGACAAAATTTCACATAAATATCTAATAGGATAAAATGATGAAGTGATGGCATTTTATATATTCAAATGGTCAAACGTTTGACTCCCCTTCTGTTCCTGAGATATGGCGCAGATTAATCACCAGGAAAGTGTTTTTGCGGAACATGATGTCACAGTGAAGCTTTTGGTCAGATACTGAATTGGTGACATAAATCCTCCCTGATGTTGATCCAACAGATATTCAGCTAATCCATTGTAGTCAATCCAAGTCGCTCTCTTTAGCCCACCGCCACCTCGATGCAGCAGCGTCCTCCCCGTCACCCTCTATCCTGTTTCTCTTCTTGAAGGAGCCAACACCAGAAGATCCAGGAACCACTGCATCTCCAGGCTCCTCAGAAGAATCTCCTGGGAGACCTCGTCTTCAAGTCCCAAGACCAGGGGCGAAAATCCCATTTCATAGTTTGGGGGGGGAGGGGGGGGGGGGAATAAACAGTAAAATTTTAGAGAATAATTCCAGGGGGGAACAAGGAAAAAAAGTTGTAGCCTGTCTTTTATACAGCATCTTTTACCGCAATTTGACGCTTTAATCTTCTCTCTATCTCTCCAGCAGGCAGAGTGAATGTCTATACTTATGAGAAATGGCTTAACAACTAAACATTTCCTGCAATTAAACTGGTAAACTGGTTTATAAACAGTGTGCTGTGAGATCTGCCGCTGCGCACCTCACAACCGTGCGTAATAGTTGCGCGTAATGACTGCTCCTCGGTTAAACTGCACGTCTTTCGTGTTTGCCTCACTGACAGGTGGAGAGCCTACAGACAGGTACCCATTAGCTACGCTCTGTCACAACCGTGCGTAATAGTAGCGCGTAATGACCGCACCTTGTCTGCACGTCTTGTCCTGTCCTCTCCCTCTTCTTTCTCTCCTGTCCTCTCTGACTATCACTTAACTCTGAGCTTAATCATTAGCTTTTAGCTTAGCAGCACTCGTAATTGAGTAGGCTTTTGAACAATACAGGAGAAATGTAACAGACAGTTTATATTATCAGCCTGGGCCTGGGGCTTGTTGTAACAGTAAATGGGATGTGTTGTAACATGTGTAAGTTAAACTGTGTCTGTGTGAGTGTACATCTTACCCTGCGATGCGTGATGTGGGCAGCGAGTCCAGCCACACGCTGCTACTGCTGCCAAGCAGCCCCGTCCGTTGAAAAGAGTGTGGGATATACCACTACTAGGAATGGGAGGGGGGGACTAGATTTAAATAGCACAGTATTGCGTGATTATAATGAGCACCGCTTACATTGTGCTTTCAATAAATACTACTGCATTGTTCAAAAATTATTAATTGTGTCTCAAATGATTCTAGGGGGGTACAGCTTTACTGAAGGGGGAGTCATGTCCCCCCTATCCCCCCCGGGATTTCCGGCCCTGCCAAAGACACTGAACTCAGGGTACTCATCCTCCTAAAAATTCCTTGTCCTCTTGAGGCTGTTCATACCTGTACCTGGCAGGATGAGAAGCAGTAGGATAAGTAGGAAGAAAAGCACG